TTCATTATTTTCAACCTCTCTCTCTCTCGCTATCTCTCTCTCTCTCATATCATTTATCAAACTTGAATAAATGTATGTGATTTTTGAAAATAGTTTACTTAATTAACAAACGAATACCGTTTAAAAATCTTGGTATTCAAATCTTTAGTTTCCAAATTTTTAACCAACCCCATCTAATCAATTTAATCAATTTAATCAATATTTAATCTACTACTGTCAACGTATATCTCAAAAATATGCTAATAAAACTGATTAATACGACTTCTACATAATCTATAATAAATGTTTTTAAAAAGATACATTTTATTTTCTAAAATTATTAGATGAATACTTTTGGAACACATTCAATGTCAGAGAGAAAAGTTATGAGACAAATATTCACAACTAGTACAACAAATTCGACACAAGTCTAGACATTCAACCTAGGTGGTAATATACTGGTATAGAAGTATAGGTAAAGTACATTGGAACACTGCACTGTAACTAAAAAAAACCAAGATAAAGCGCAGCACTTAAACATGTACTAGTTGAACTGTGTAACGAATGAACTATTTCGCTATAAATGGCAATTGATGGAAATTGAAAAGTATATGTATATTATGATACTGATAGTCTAAAAATATTACAGGAGAATCTAGCGTTTTTAGTTTTTTCGCCATTGATATCGAATTTATAAGTTGAATTCCATTTCCTATAAAGATGAAGTTCGAATTGATATATTTTTTATTTTGATCAATTTTTTGATATTTATAAACAATTTTAAAATTATTCATCATCTTCGGTGTGAATTTCTAGTGATATATCAAAAGCGTCAATGCGTAACAACCTTTATTTGGAAACCATAAAAAAACAGTTTGAAACGATGCCGGATGCCGAAAGAATCTCCAGTTCCTCGGACTTTAACCAAATCCGTCCGCATACTACGCGTGACTCACCAAAAAAGTAACTCCACACAGGCAGAAAGCTCTAGTCAAAACTATCAAATACCGCACATCTCTGATAACAAAATATCAACAACTAGCTATAACACCGAACACGTTTCAATGCTTAATACTTTTACAACAGATGTCCATGACTGACAGACAGAGAGGGAGGAAAAACTGTCCACTGGTCATCAACATTTGTTACAAAACGAAAGAAAAGAAAACCTTACTGCCAAAACCGCAACGTTGCAAGCGCATCAATACCCTTGGCGCTGGTTTTAAGGTGGGAAATGTATGTAGCCTCTTTTGTGTGTGTATACCTGCTCTGTAAACGTGACGTTGTCTACGCCGAAAACGTTGATGCATCACCGTTAAAAATTATAAACGTCACTACACTCATCACACACAATTCACTAAAAAGTCATTTCTCGATTTGCTTCTTTCTCTCTCTCTCTCTCTCGTTAGCCCCAAAACTTCTGCTGTACAACTGGCTTGCCAGTCTCTTACTGTGCAAGTTTATAGCTAACACCACCAGGCTTGCGCATATGATCAGCTGGAATTGTGCGGGTGCGCACGCGCGAGCCGACCATGACGCCACTGTAAGCTTACGTTATACACACGCACACATACACACACATATTAGAGAGAGCGTTCTAAGGGTTGGATACTTGGATTGCGATAAACGAGAAAGGAAATTCATTTGCGTCGTTGGAGTTTTAATGGGGATTTTGATGGTGTGGCATTGTTTTATAACTTACTTATCGATGGTTGTGATTGGATTGGATTGGATTGGAAAAATATTTAAAAACGTTCTAATCTATTATTTTTGGGATCAACTATGGAATAGAAAATATTGTTTTTCACTAAATTCATGATTTGTCAAAATAATACCAGAAATATTAATTTTTTATTAAAAATGTTCTCATTATTAAGAACGAATGGAAGGTTAGGAATCGAAAACAAATAATCGATCTGCTATTGTAAAAGGAAAAACATTTTTAATAAGTACATACTTCATATTTCTTTTTCAACTATACTTCTGAATACAAATAACAAATTGGAACCTTCGATAATCTCATGGTATAATCAGTCGCGTATGACATTGAAAATTCAAGCGCAAGCGCATGTAAGATTTTTCAAGATACGTTCGCATACGGCACGACGAAGAAAAGGCCAGACGGCAGCGCGTCTTTACGGCACGACGGAGTCGAATGAGAGAGGGGGAGAACGTACGACCCGTGGTCGTTTAGGGGAGAAAAAGGGAAACTAAAAACGTCTCACGATTTGGCGCGGAGAGAAGATTGTATCGCGAATAACGACCACCACCGCCTCCTTGTATGTATTTTTTTCGTTTATAGCTGCGTACAGGATATTAGACTATATGTTCTATATTTTGTTCTCTAGATGATTCTGTTGTGAGTACAGCGTACACGGAGAACGTTTTTAGGATATAGGTTTTTCTATAGCGTGAGTATTTAATTATAAATCAAATTTTTATGTTTTCTTTTAAATCAAAATACTGTTTCATAATCAGTCACTAGGCTAAAGATAATAATCTTGACTCATAAAAGTAAATAAAATCAAAACAAATCATCAGTTATCTTGAAATTACGGTCAACAGCTATGAAAACTAATTAAATACAAAATATTGTGATTTATTTTTTATCTCTCTTTCGGCACAATTCAACTATTTTAATTCCCAAGTAATAAATTTGGCTCACGCGTATAAATGTGTTACGAAATATGTATGTAGAAAATGCCTCCCACGTGTATCATTCTGCGGAGTGTATCATCCTCCTTCCGAGAGGCGACAATCTCTCCTACGATATTCTTCTTGCGTTTCATATTTCCACCTGATAATGGTATTTATTTTCGATCAGTGTGTTTATTAATTTATTTGCTTAATTCTCAGTAATATTGTTTAGAAAATATTTTAACAATATTGTCAAATAATGATCGAAGTAATGTTTATTTGAAATAGCCACAATTCATTATAATCAGTAGTAGTGACTTGCTATGGTCAGCCGAACGTTCAATAAATAGTGGATTCATTTTAAGGTATGCCGTGATGGATTAGTCGTATAATCACAAATTTATTTGAAAGATTTTCAACAAATTCATGTATTTCTAAAAGTATTAGTAAAAAACATTTTGCAAAATGATATTACATTCTGACGTTGACATCGCCATAAACGATAAAATACAGTTGAACGACTCATTTGATAAACGATCTATTGATATAAAACGCGCAACAACTCGACGTCCCATAGACATGAATTTCTTCAAAACATTAAATATACATGTAAGCATTCGCGATAAATCACACCGAATGCCACTTCTACGAATACATCACTTAGAAGATGACAAGTCGCATTTAACGCTTTCTAAAACATTTGTATAGCGATGCGTCGCTCCTATAAATTAACAGCATGCATCTCTTAACTTTTCACTCTCAACTCTACCAAGTATTAGCAGAGTTACAAATAATTGTAACGTGATTATATTAATGATATCGTCATTAAGGAAGTCCTCCTTTAACTTCATATACACTAATGATCGAACTTATGAAACACTGTGACACGCAGAGCACGCGTAAACCAAGTTTTGCCGGGATGATAAGGAAAACTAATCGTTCGGAGCAAGCGCACTGTACGAGTATATTATTGATCAACACTCGCGTGCGCATAGACGATCGTGCCAAAAATTTCTCTCTCGGTAACTGAAGTTCTCATACGCGCCCCCAGTCCGATTCGATTATATTGGCCTGCAAATAGCACAAACGGCAGACAGACTCGCCAAGGTTAATGAGCGAGAAATAATCTTATCAGACGTGTCAAATTATCTCTGATAGAAAGCTGCTCTTCTTGTTATGCATGCACATTGAATATTACCGAGGATTCCGCCTGCGAGGGTTTAATTCAATTTACTTTTGGATGGTGTCTGCTAGTTCACTTGGAGCTGGATTTGAATGGCATTATGCATGAAAATACTTGTTAAATTTATTGGTAGTTATATGTTAAATATGTTGTAGATGGTTTTATATGTGAAAAAATTTAAAAAATTGCTTTACATTTGGATTCGAGAAGAAATAAATTACGAATATTCCATATCACCGCCCTCAGCGCAAACAGTTATAACTTTTCAACGTAAGCCAATTTTTCAATGTACAATAGCTTATATTCGGAAGCTGGTTGGGAAAGCTTTACAATGGGTCCTTGCACGAACTTCCCTTTATGGCCTTCAAGTAGTTAGACTTTCAAGCAAATTCTTTTTTATTTCAATCCGCGAAAGTGAGTATAAATATATAACGCAACTTTCCGTAACAAATCATTTTGAAAGCTCAAAATAACACGTAATACTTGAAATCTAATCAAAGATCTAAATATATTTGGAAAAGAATAAAATTTAAATATTATAAACCTTATGGTATTATTTAAATCATAAGTAATCGTTGATTTTAAAAAATATACTACAGCTAACGGAAAAATGAACTACAAACTAAATATTTTTTTAAATTGTTACATCATATGCTTTCATATACCACTGAACATTCATTCATAACAATTTTTACAACACTTATTAAAGCGTATTTTGCAGTTCGATAAATTTCAGCGATTTATACAAACTATATTGAGGAAGGTTATGTATGAAAACTGCTTGAAATAATTTTTTCTTCCTTATATTATAATCTTTTATAACTCTTTTGCTATTTTCAAAGGGATTAACCACATTGAGTTCGACAGAAGTTTTGTAACTGTCTCGAAAGCTTTGATTCATTAGGGTCCACGCAAGCAATTTCCGTTTCGTTGCTTTAGAAACTCCACGAGAAGTACGGACAAGTACAGCAAGCTCGAATAGCAGTTTATTGAACTTTAAAACAGAACTAGCGTCAATTCCTTTACGTAATTTTGTGCACGATGCTAGGAGTATATGGGAGTAGCACGACTAAATAGAGGAGGCATTTGTGCATCAGTGGATTTTTACGAGAACATTTCGTTTGGAAAATTTTCAGCGCAAGCTCAAGCAGTGAATAAATTCTTCAATTTGATTGTATCTTTTATAGTAATGAGTACTCACAGCGTTTGCTGCTGTGCGCCTGCAGATGAGCGGTGACAACGTTGCAGAGGCGCTCGTACCTTGCTTTCAAATAGTCTCGGCGTCTCAATTGGCGAAGTAGTAAACAACCTGTGTGGTTTACATACTCCTGTAAGCAATTCTGAAGTACTCGTAGCTCGGCTGTGCCTGTTGAAAGAAATGATGTGAGCTTTTTTTTTTAATTCATTGCTTTATTAACTACAGGTAACATAGTTATTTAGCTTTATACAATAATAATGAAAAAAAGAATAGGTTACATATTTATGCAATAAGTGTATACACTTTGGATTCCGTACATTATATAGTTTTATATTTTGATTTTACATTTTTTAATAAGAAAGAAATTTATTAATATGAAAGAAAAGATGTGAGCTTATATATACTTGATGGATAATAACATTTTAAAGTGCTCTTCGACAGATAGTATTTCGTACATTGCTTTGTTAAAAAAGTAGATTATCCTCTGATTCATTTACTTTTTACTACAATGAAAATTATTGAAAATACAATTCTTCATTTTCGTAATATTTCTACACTTCAACCACTCCGACGGAAACAATCACTGCCAGCATAATAACAATAGTAATTATAAAATCCAAGGACATTGTCAGAGCAGTCATACTAACTCATGTATAATTAATTAATCATCAACAAATTAACTATAACTTCAAACAGTAATCAATAATCAAGCTCATTGTAAAAGTTTTGTATCAGTACATGTAGAAATCTAATCTCACGCAATAAAATTCTACTTTTTTGCAGTGTTAATAACAAACGTGATCAGACAAGATAAATGGAAATTCTCTGAAACAATCATTCAATGAATCGGTAACCCTGTACTGTCAAACGCTGCGCGTGTACTCCATTCATCGCCATCTATTCAATTCTCTCGGCTCACACAACAAATCGTTATTGACGTTCCTCTATATTTTTATTTTTTTTTCATGGTGTTATTCACCAATTATATTCTATTCATATCCCATTTTTAGATCCTTCGTTCTATAAAGACTTGAATGAAACTTTTCTAAAATTGTTTTGTTAGAGCTCCCAAGATTATAATTAGTAGCTCATCTAGTTTTATAAACTTTACTTAAATATTATACAAAAAGGTTCCCAATTAACTTTTTATAATATAGTTCTATTCTTTTATGGTTTTTGATATATTATATCATATATTTATATTTGTTGTTTTTTTTCTGGTTAGTTTAAATCATTCTTTTAAAAAAAGTAGATAGTTTTTTTCTTTTTATACATAACAAAAGAATAATCCACGAGCTAAACAAGCAAAAACAAAAGAATACTAACGCATGAAAAGATTAATCCTATTTTCTTTAAGTAAGCATTTGTGGAAAATAAAAGCTCGCATAAAATGGTTCGTCAATGTACATATATCGACACAATATTAGACACAGACAGACACACGCACACATAAAAAGAAACGAGCGAGAAAGAAAGAAAAAAAAAGGAAAATGAAGAACATATACACGCTCGTCGCGGGTAGACATGACCTCCTTGACTCTCTAGCAGCTCGCTCGCTTTATCTCGTGCGCACCACTTCAATTTGTCGTCGTTGTCGTCGTCACTGCGGCCCCCTTGGTAGGTGCGCGATGCTTCTTTGAGGGATAGACAGACGCGCGCTGAATCGAGGAAAAATCCGCTGATGCCTAGGGTGCGTTATTTGAGTAAGAGTGAGCTTGCTTGCTTGACTTTTCTTTCTCAACAGCTCATTTACTGTTATATGTAATCTAACGGAGTTTGTGATTATTTAGTGTTTTTCATTCATTATCTATTGGCAGTTGTTGTAACGCTCTCTTTAAAACAGAATGTTATTCAATACACATTAAATAAACCTGACGTGACTCAATGCACTTTGAAACCACTTGCAATATTTGTTCAAAAAGTAAGGTATTAAAGAATTCGCAAATATTTTCACAAAATTAGTTGCCAAGTACTGCCTTAGAAATATACCTTTACCAAGTTAATAAAGTTTAACATGATTTTTAATGCTTATTTCAATTTTTATTTTATTTAAGAGTTTGTAATAATCAATTGTCTTTCCTTAATTAAATTACTAGAATAACTTTGCTTCTATATGTATACACTGTTTCAAAATAAATTTTATAAAGTCAACTAAATTTAACCTATCGACTATATTGAAATTGAATACTTAGTAATTATTTAAAAAATTAACAGAACACCTATAGTACTCGAGCAAAATACAATTAAAAGTTCTTTGACCTTCTTGTAATTCAATTTCTCTTGGTAAATCCCAATAACGGTAGCATGTAACCCAAACGATTCAGAGGTTTCAATTTAATTATAACAAAAAGTATTGATGAAAACAGTACAAACGATATCCATCGATTGCACAATCGTACTGACAGAACAATTTCACAATCGATGCATTTAATGAGGTTTATTCGCGACCAGTTTGTATGAACGATACTAGCACCTCTTTGCCTGACGTAATTGTTCGTCCTCAAATACAACTGCTCAACACTTCATCTTTCTCTTTTTTTATAACCATGGAAAATATGATTTTAGCAAAATGATCTTAAATTTGAAATACATTTCTATACTCAATGTGTAATATTACTTTGGCATAATCCCATATTCAATCTCCTAAAAAAAATATAACTAAACAGAAATATATATATCCTAGGATAAATAATAGCTCCAAGTTATTACTTTATTGGTGAACTGGTCTGGAAGTCAAACATTAGAGATGACTTACTTTTGAGCTGTAGTCGTATCCTTTGTAAATGCGGTCTCTCTCGATGTGATGATTTCCATGACGAATCACCGCCACATGTAGATTCGTTATCAGCGCCATAGATATTACCCAGCAACTGGTCTACTAACGATGAAACAGGCTCCTGCGTTGCAGTTAATTCCGGAAGAGGTAGTGGGTAACTCTGCGAGTTGTGTGGATTTAATAAAAAGAAATTAGTTTTGTTAGAATTTGTTGATTAATATAACTGTGGGTTGGAAGTGTGTTTTTGACATTAACTTTGTTTGAAAAATTTTTCCTACTTTAGTTTTCTAATTTAAGTTTTTTTTCATATATTTGTATTCAAAAATTTTACATAAAAAGTGTAATATATATGTTTGCTATTGTAAATAGAACAGCTTATCTACAAAAGGTTTATCTACAAAAAAACTTCTTTATTTTAACTACGATCCTATTTTGCACAGTCGTCACTTCTACAAGCAGCATAATTTCCATAGAGTATAATAAAAAGGATTTGTTTCCCTTGATCTTTCTCTCAAATATTTTTTTTATCGTGTAACGATTATCTTTATTGGATGATAAAAGTAAATCACATTGTGTAGAAAATTATTTTATTATGATTAACTACGTATTTAATATTGAATAAGTTGCAATTTCGTCAGTAAATTATTTAAAAAAATTATCCTGAAGAAACGAAATATAATAGAAGAAATTCAATAAAAATATTCCTTCCGATTTGGATGAAAAACTCTATTAAAAAGATATTAACCTTCTTCCTCTTTTCCACTCCAGATTCCATCGAACTTTCATGCATTTCATCGACAAGTCGATTGTTATCAATTTCCTCATTATAATCGAGCGACTTAGATCTGGCGATCTTAAAAACATTCCTCTTGTTAGCAAATTCATCGTGAACGCCGCTCTGAATAATAGTCGTGTTTCTTCTTTTCGCTGTTAATTTGCGATTGACGCGGTTTAGCTCAAGGAAATCCGGTGTTTCCAGTATTTGCTGTATGAGATTCTGACGTTTCTTGTGATACACGCTGAGTTCGGCGGCGCTGGTGCGATGAGTTACTACTACATCGCCGAACACTCGCTCGCTCTCCACATCCACGCATTTAAGACGATAACTCAACTCTACGTCCTGAGCTGTCGGCATTACCCGCCAGTTCATTGCTATAATTTTGTTGAAGCATCATCGGCAATGATTTCTCGACTTTTTTTCGCTTGTTCTCGCTTCTGTAATTAAGGTAATTCAAGGATTGCGATTAATTGTTCAACCATTAATAAAACTGGCACAACAACCAAACACCTAAAATTGGATATTTTTCATGATATTCACTATTTATGACGAGTCAAATATTCTTCCAGATTTGAGTATTCCTTGTACACATAGAAAACTCGAATTAACTATCATTTTGCGATTGTACTTATTAAAAACTGGAATTATCTATCATTTTGCGATTTCCCCTAAGTATGCACAACTTTTCTTATTAAATAATTTATATTATTATTATCGAACACTTAATATTTTCAGGTATGATAATGATCAATATTTTTAATGTCATTTTTATTAACACAAATGGGCTCACTTAATGATTTACTCATAAAAAATATTCTACTGACAATAAACCTAGAATATTAGAAACAGTAAACTTTACGTATAGACAATGAACAGTCTAACACAAATCAATTTTCGGTTTCAATTATAATATTACATTATTATTATATTATTAAAGACTAACCTTAATTGAATTCATTGAATATTTAACTCAGCTGCGACCAGGAGAATTTTTGGTTTCGTAACATTTTTTTACGATGACGATTAAATATTATTATGTTACGTTAATAATACTAGCATTAAAGTTACAGTACAAACTATCGATATAATTTTGTTGATACTACTTATTCTTTTCTAATAATATCAAAATTATTAGTAAATACTATTGAGTAAACGTAATATTCACACAATTTATGTTTAAAAAAAATGATTAAAAAAAAATAACTACTCTAAAGTATAGTCGCATGAGGTAAGCGTATGTGTACGAGTGCACATGTACCACACACAACCTCAACGAAAATAAGTTTATAAACAAAAGGATGAGTTTGTTCATTTCAACTAAAAAAAATGAAACTGTCACACTACGATTTTAGGCTTGTACGATATCCCTTTGCGATAGCACTTAACATAGTGACGCGCTTTTCATGTTCTTATCGTTCGTATATGCTAATTAGTAGTAAGAAAGCTAATTAAGTAGCCCAGAGTATACAGACACAGCTGCGTTTGCTTTCCGTTTGTCACTAGTAATGAGCTATTTATAATTTTTTATTTTTTACTCATATTTTCATCCTTGTATGAAATTTCAAAATGACCTGTTTTACAATTAAAAAAAACTAATTATATTGTTAAATTAATATGCTTGTAAAACTGAATAATTTTCGTAAAAGTAAAATATTCAAGAACTTCACTTTATTTTTGAAACTCAACGCGCATTTTTTATTCAAACTTAGTTCAAGGATTCTTATATCCATCTCAGTATATTCATATTCACGTTTTACTATTCACTGAAGATTAACTTGTTGAATTCATTAAAAAAACAGTCCAAAATAGAAACGTCCGGATTAGTAACAATATTCTTTATTCAAAATAAAATGTTATTCAATTATTATTTTTCATTGTCACTTTGTCGACTATTTTAAATTCTTCAGATTATTGATTGCTTCATGGCGAACCCTCGATTGTGGTCAAAAGCGAAATATTCTGCTAATATGACACTTTGTAATGGCGAATTGCTGAAATATTTTTTTTTTTTTACGATTAACGTTAAGTAATTTATGACATTGGAAAAATAAAAAAATGAAAAGAGTGACCTATATAACCATGAATCATATACCGGCGTCAATGCTTTGAAAATATAAATAGTAAAACAATTTAAATATTACAAAAAATATTTGCTTAAATATTGTAAGCAATAATTATATTTTTAAATATGTATGTACACTTACCATCGAAAGAATTTGTGCCAGCGTAAAAATATTTCTCGTTTTGGTACATATTAATCCAACGATCTGACATTTAAAGAAAAATTCAATACAACACCATGTATAAATCAAGGATAGAACATCCCTCTTATTCTTTCGTAACGAGACCTGGAAGCATTACATGCTCACGATGCTACGGTGCACTAAAAACACAATGCAAACGATCGTTTCGACGTTTTTAGTGCCGTTTCACGTATATGCGTGTGTGTGTGTACGTGTAGCGCCGCGTCGGTAGCGAACCACAACTAGAACTGTTGGCGATAATAATACATTATATTGTACGCGTTCGACAACACAGAAAACTAGTACTGAGTGCGATACGCTACTCCCAATGTTTGTGCACAAATATGATCTTATCTAATGCCCAAACGATTAACATTTTTTTTGTTACACTTAGAATACGTGTCGCTGTGGTATAGTTACAGTTCAATTTTAAACATGGGAAGTATTCTTGGATAATTTACAATTTTTTTTTAATACTGAAGTTAACATCTTTATTTTGAAACATAAACATAAGGGATGCAATCACAAGTCAGAATGTTCTTTCATCTTTTGTTTATTACTTTATATATAACTCACTGTGATTACATATTGCCTATTCGACAAGAAACACTCGTTTCTTAACATCACAGAGAACCGCAAAAAGACAAGAACTTCATGTTAATCAAAACGACGAATAAAATTAAAAGAAAACTTAAATTAACTAAATTTTTTAATACGTCCCTTATTTCAAACAACTTGAAATGAGATCAAAGGAATTTCCATCAACAAAAGAAAAAAAACATTATAAGTCAGGTTAATAAAAATAAATAGTTAATTAATATTTGGTTAAAGAAATAATAATTGACAGTAAAAGCAAACTTTCTTGTCAAAGAAAAAGATACATGAATATCATGCAACATTACGACTAATTTGCTTTCGCATACATTTCTCACGTCTGTCTGTTCGCTTCATATATATTTTTTTATAATATACTTCTTTTTTCTTCTCATAAACATTTCTGTAAAATAATAACAGTAACAATATTTTTAAACTTTGTACAAAATATAAATAAGTCTCTGCCAACTTTCAGCAGTAACAGCGTCTTTAACTCCACTGTCTATACCACAAAAAAACTGGCGTAAAGACCTTATCGTATCGATTGTAATCTTCGACCGCTTAAATAAAAAGCGTTCTGTGCATGGGGACGGAATTGTGAAGTATCCTTCCATCAAGTGAGTTCTGTGTACTCAGTGAAGCCGTGGTTCGGTGGACCGAGTAACAGGACTCCCACGCTTCGGTCTTTTGAGGCAGTTACAATGTCTGTATTGTATACTTAAGGAGTTTTTATATGTATTACATTTGTATAAATTAATAAATTGACATAATCAAAATATTTTAGAAGAAAATTGAATACATGAATATTTTACAAATATTTACATATTCAATTTATGTGTATTTGTGAAGCACTAAAATATATACAGTAAATGACTTACTTTTATTTGCTTTTTTAATTTTATGTTTTAAAAATGACTGCATACAATCCTTTAACGGATATATTATTGATAATCATATGTGAAAATTTATAAACAGCTTTTCGTGCGGACAAGGAAAATGCCAAGATATCGGATTACAAATTTTCTTTAAATTTAGAATAATAATCTCAGATAACCCACAATGTATGAAAAAAAGTTTCAAAACTATCTCATACATCTTATATCGTCATTTATAGGCATAAACATGAAAAATTACTAAAATCTAGCCAAACTTTTTCTCACAGCTTTAGCTAAATTTTATTTATTATAATTCTTAAAAGTGATAAAAGTTTTAATTTAATAGCTTGTACAAAACTAACGATTTTTAACTCAACGATAATAGATCAAAAATGATTATAAAGATCGAATATTTAAGGGCATGTAATATCAATGTTTATGTCTTTTCTAATTAAGTTTTGAAATCGACGACATTGGCGTCAAAAATTATTATTTTTCATTGGGTAAGTACTAAATTCAAACTTTCAGTTTTTACGTCTATATTAATTCAAAATTGTATTAAATGAATCCCATATTAAGTTTCGAGCAAAAGAAGACTTTTTAATTGTAATGATTTTATATTAATGTCCATGTAGGGATAAAAAGCATATGATACGTATGACACTTTTTTTATACATTACGGGCTATCAAAGACTACCCTATATTTTTAAACTTTCCTTGTAAATATATTGTCTTATTATCTTGTACGCTAATATTGAAATTTAATTGATTATCCTAAATTACTCTATAAAATAGATGCCTGATAACTGTGAAATTGTAAAAAAGGATACATTCATCATACGGAGAAATATCTAAGTCTTGAATATCGCTTTTGTGACGATATACTTCGCCGAGGTATTCGTGTCTGTCAGGATATCGTCGGTACCTTCTGAGAATACCACCGTCACAAACAGAGTACAATGTACTGCCGTTCGAGGTATAGCGCAGTTTCCAAACTGGGCAGTCTTTGTGCTCTTTCAGAAGCTCCTGGATACCAGAATCGGGAACGTAGGCCGATACAAGATCTCCACCGCACATAATCAAACCTAAAAATGTCGGTTATATTAATTATTCGTATGAACTATGAATTTACAAACTCTATTACATGCTGAAAAAACGACTCACTGTAAAATCCATCTTCAGCATTTCGGCAGTATGGTTCAGGAGTTATGCAAACAGAATTGATAGTGTGTCCTGTTTGAAAAGCATAAAGTACACGTCCATCAGGTGATGAGACCTTGCACGTACCGTCAGTACCACCAGTCAAAATAGAATTTTGCCAGGGCCACGAAGCAGGCAAAAAACAAATATCCCTAATAATCGATCCATGTAACTAAAATATTTAAGAATTGCTGTTAAAAATTAAGCCAACGCGCGGATCAAAAATCATTATGATTTAAAGAAAATTAATGTCGATGAAAGAAAGTTTTCCATCAAACTAATTTTCCGTGTCGTGGTACAAAAATCTATTCACATCGTAAACAAAATCTAAGGGCAGTGGCATCCGTAGGTCGACGAGGGTCAGACCTTTACCATTCACAGCTACGGAGACAGCTAAATTTGGTCCTGAAGGGTCAGTTGCCAAGCCAGTTCTATCTCTACCTCCGAAAGCGCAGTTATCGTAAGATAGCAACTGCTCGCCTCGTTCCACGTCTACTACGACTAGTCTTCGTGTATTTGTTGCTGCTAGTACCTGCGAATTTTCATAGTGTAATTTGATCAATTATCAGAAATTTTAGGTTTAATTTTAAGATAATTTTTAAGTACTCTGGATCCATCCGAGGTAAACCGCACAGCGTTAACATTTTTTACTTGTGTCATTGGCGTTATCTGGTAACATCTGAGTAATTCCATTCGCAAGGCCGAGTATAGATTGACCTTCCCATCATAACCGCCTGAGCAGAAAAGGTATCTATCCTGCAATAAAAAATCAAATATTAATTTGTCTAATTCACAAATTATCTCAATCATTAGATATTTAAAATATATCATTTCACTGAATTGATGTTTCATCCTGACAGAAATATGCAGATGGAAAGCTAATTTACTAAATTTGTTCTCTCTCCTAAGGTTTTGACAATATTAAGTTACGTCAACTAATCATATACCGAGTGACTCTACTTAATCTTTAAGAAAGTTCTCAAACGGTTTTCTCACCGACGCGATCAGCCGCATTTGCAAAAAGCGTCTTTTGCGTCGCAAAAGTAAATTCGATCTCACAGCCCACGAGTAAATATGAACTGATTTTGCCTGTTTTAAAAGCTGAAAAGAGCACCGCAACCGCATTTCCAGCTCTCTAAGATTTCAACGAAACAATAATTTAAACAAGACATTTTTTAATTAAGAAGTAATAATTAAATTCTCTCTTTAATCTGTTTTTATAAGTACGCTTCTCCGGTTAGAAATAGGATTCGCATTAACTTTAGTAAATAAGCGAATCGCGCGAAAACAAGGCAGCAATCTTTTAAAGTTTCGTTCTCTCCTTTTTTTATCTTTCATTATTATTTCTTAAATAACGAATAAATTGTAGATACACAGTTTTGAGATGCATTGACATAGCGAGTAGCGCGAGCGGGAGAGAAATGAGCTCTTTATCTTTTTCTTCCCTTACCTCTCTGTCTCGTCCTTACTAACGAGTTATTCCTACTTCACGTGCACTCTCTGACTTCCGGTTGTACTAACTGTCATCGTATCTGCTCTTTTACTCTGACGTGGCATCAAGACGAGGGTGGGGCAATTAATTCATTGGCCGGTAACAATATTATCGCGTCTACGAGTAATGTGCCCTGGGCCTTCTTTGCGGGGAATAGGCAGCGGGACGAGCAGTGATTTTTTTCTTATACCTGGCAAAAACTCCGGGATGCATAAATTACCTAGTTATCTCGACCTTCCGCAATCACATGTAGTTCTGATTAATAATTGTTTCAAATCAATCACCAACGTCTGACTTATTTTCCCTATTTTTTTATTAATAATTTAATACTGCCACTTGATAACTACCGAACTCTAAATAAATGCCACGATTAAACCAAACCAATTTTAACAGTGAACGAAGCAAACTTTCCAACTATCCTTCAACGAATAGTAAGTGCGTGACTATCGTGTGTAGCGTATTCATGCACAACTATGCTTATGTTGCGCAGTCGTAAGTGCACTCAATGTGAAACCAGCACAGCTTCGACCACCTACCAACTCATGAGATAAGAGCAGCTGTCCAGCTCGCTGTGTCCCGCAGGAGCTGTTTTCAATGCGTCAAGATCACGTTAAAGTAATGAGAGCTAACGTCTGTTATTATATCAGGTTTATTATAAATTTATCTTTTTTTCTTTCTTTAGCTTCTACAGTGTATCAATATTGAAAGTTCATTATTAATCATAATTTATTACACCGACGGTTGTTATAAAAATTTGTCTCCCCTTTATCGAACGCAAATAAAATCGATATCTGAAAATCCGGATATAACAATTGTATATATTAAAAGTTGTATTTATAAGCTCGAAAAAATGTTAGATAGAGGAAAGGTTATTAAAAACAATTGTATATATTAAAAGTTGTATTTATAAGCTCGAAAAAATGTTAGATAGAGGAAAGGTTATTAAAATAAATAAGCTAGAAGAAAGGTTACTGTTAATTCTTACGTGCGACGTTGATTTTTTAACATTAAAATTTATAAACGACTTCATAATACGAGTAACGTTTCGCAAACTGAGTGTTCGTGTCGTAAGAGAGGAAGGGAGGGGGAGCGAGACGAGTGACGGGGAGAGACGATTGACACTTTGGGCCGAAAATATGAGTCAGTTTTTGACTAGACTGAGCGCCGATTAGCGTGAATTGTCAAGAGCTTTTTGCTCATGAGCCTTTCTTTTGCGTTTGTCGAGCTTCTGTCTTTATTTGTTATCTTGCTTGCGTGCGTGTCTCGTGCGTGATTCTGGAAGCGACCGTGCCCATTACCGGTGATTTTGGACGGGGCCTCAAAGTGACGACCCCATAGGGTGTTGCCTCCTTCGGCTTCTTACAGCGGTTGCAAGATCACCCTGAGGCGGTCACGTACGCTAGTTACAGCTAGGTAACTTTCCGGAGTCAACCCAGTGCAAGGGCTGAACCCGTGATCGAGACGTTGGTGTACTGGGTTCGCGCGGTCTAGCGCTCGCCTCCCACAACCCGGACAAACCCATCGTCACCAAACGGTAAGAGGGCTCTTGGGCTAATTTTTAAGTGAGACACCATCACTGTAATTCTTTGTTATATATATATATATATATAAGGTTTTGTATTTGTATAACTTTGTGTTTGGCGACGTTGATTTAATTGTAATTTTTTTAAAGTATTATTTTGAGGTTTCCCCCCTCCCCTTGAGACCGGAGTTTTTTATGCTTCTTTTTCATTTCTTTTCTTCTTTAAATTTTTTAATAAATAAGAGTCGCTACAAATTTTGTGATTGTTATAAGCCTATGCGTGAACATCCATTCTTCTCATTCATTCCTCAATTATTTCCTTTAAACCCGTATAAAACTCTAAGTGAGATTTAATGACTACACTCAATCTAATTACAGACTACAATATGTGAAACCATTCCGACAATGTGAGTACTTTTGCGTTTGAAAAAAAAGAGAGAGACGATAAAATTCTCGTGCAACTGCACATTATCAGCAAGGCGAATGCGGACAGTACGTGCAACGCCGGAGGACATACATGCTTGTGATATCACTGTTTTGAACGTACCCGTGGACTGAATGCAACACCTCGAACGCTGCCCTGGTGGAACTTGAGAAACTTCGGCGTACCTTCTTGTTGCATCGTGATGAATAATTTTTTTTTCTTTTTCTATCGAATACTCATTGGCCCTTTCCCCATCGCCGCCGCCGTCGGTGTACTGCTGCCTCTACGAATGGGAAACGGTTTTACGTTAATCACTTCAATAACTTGACTTCAGTGCTTTTTTCCTTTGAAATCGTAGAAATAATAGCAGAAATGGAGAAATTAGTGTTTCGAAAAATAGTATCAACTTCTTTTTTTATTTTAAGTACTTTCGTAATTACATCTTTCGTAACTCATTTTCTCAATATTATTCCTAATAACACTGCTACAAAATATTACGTGTGCAATGGCAATGTGTAAAAAGTAGAATGACCAAAGACCGATTGGAATTGAAAAACTTAGTTTTTGTGGATATTGCAGTATTCTTAACTTACTTATTATCAAGACTTTTTTATTGAGCGAGTGATCTTGATCAAAGTCCAACAAAGTTACGAAACGAATAATAAAAAATTTAAACATTGCACATTTACAAGCTCTTAACAACATAACTTATTGAATAATTTATATTTATTCATAAACCATAAGTACAAATGACGTTGTTGAGTAAAGTGTTTTCTATAATTATCATAGAAATTAATACAAAAAACAAACTGTTTTGTTTGAAAATTATTTAACAACAATGAATTCCTTAATGTTTTTTTTTCGAAAACAGCATTACCTACGTAATTAAGCCTCTTTCACACTGACACTACAGGTAAATCGGTTTTCTTAGTTATCATGAATCAAAATTCTGAAATATTATTGATTTTATCATTATATATTTCGACAGATAAGAAGAAATCAAAATATACGGCAATTAACAATAAAATCAAAATAACAGAAAGTGATGATAAAAATAGACATCTCATGAGTAATATAGGACAAGGGCACCGTTTTTTGTAGCATAAACTAATTTGAGGACTTTTTTCAACTATTCGTGCACGTGTAGTTTGATTTTATAAAGGCCAAGATAAATAAAAGCAACATCAGTTACTATCTGCCAGCTCGAGAAGAATCTGAATACTTTTCAAACTTATTTTTCAAGCATCAAGTACATAGATTCAAGCTCGCTTCTGCGCAAATAAGATCATGCAAACTCTACTATAAATTTGTTTCAATCTCATCGGATGAATCCTAAGATAGAGTCGAAAAGCCCTGTTTACTATTTGTTATCAATAAACGTTCAAGTTAGACTCTGTTGCTAAGTAGCACCGCGTACATAATAAAAAAACTCACGATATTTTTCACCGCACATATTTTTCTCACAGCATATATACACACATATCAACACAATATTCGTCTGCACTTTTTTTCTCGCAATACGGAGCTCCAACAGTACAAACGCTAAGCACATATAGCATATATATATATATATATATATATATATATATATATATATATATATATATATATATATATATATATATAACATAAATAACAACCTCATCATTTTTCCCTCGGCGCCGCTCCTCACACATTCAACGTTCCTCACAACCAAAAATCCATCGTCACAGCGTGTTACAGCACTGACGTATAGATTACTGTGGCTTTACTTTCTTTCTTTTTTTACAGGCGTCGTTTACATTGAACGCTAAATAACGCACGCGCGCTACGATGCCTTGATTTTTCTCTTTTCACTTTCTTTCTCTCTTTCGTCGGTCTCTAACATAGAGAGGCAACAATTTTCCAGACGACGACACTAGTGGAAATCCGATTTGTGATATGGATATGTGACAGAGACAGAAAATATTGTGCATAGATTCGCTGCGCAAGCGCACTAACGTCGAGCTATGCACTTTATTTCATAAGGTATGTTCACTTATGACGTCATTGGCAAACATAGTCGACCCTGGCCTCAAAATTCAAATTAGCATCATGCTTGTTTCTACTAAGTTAATATTTATATTAAATCTATAGATCTCAAATTATTGTTTAGTTAATTTTTGTGTCCTCATTGAATTTTATTTTTCAAGGCAATTAGTTTCAAATCAAATATTGAATGTATGTTCCAAATTAAATTTACATCCCACTTAATAATTCATTATTAATAATAACTGATGGACTGAAATTAGAATTAGTAATATTTACACTAAACGAAACACTGCGGATGCTGCAATCTTGTAATTCGAAGATGGAAGAAATAGCTTAAAATGTAAACATTTTATTAATAAAACTAAAACATTATTTCATGGAAATACGTAGGATATTTTGAATTTTGACTTAGCATCGATCACAGTTGACGACTAAACCGTGCTAATACAATATATTACATCTTACCCGACGTAATTTTATATATAAAATTTTATTTCATAAATATGTTCATAATTTAAATCATATCTTTTTATGTATAATAAATCCTAATCTATTTATTACATGCATACTCTAAACAAATAATTACTTTTCTGCCTAACGTCATGTATGTTCATATTTCATATAGCAATAACATTAACATTTATTATTTTAATATATTAGACAGATTGTAAATAAACAAGGAAGAAATAAAAAAAATTTCTTTTTAGCATTGTCTGAATTTATTGATATAATTGTGTAAATTGAAGTTTTACTGAAACTTGTAATCAATTAAAATTCCCTTTGAGATGCCCAAAATCATTGCCAATAAACAATTGGTTTTGACTAAAAAAATGTATGACACATATTTTTCAGTGATTCATTACATCATGGATCGCGAAATAAATTTTTATCACTTGCGGCCACATGTACGAAAGATGACAATATCAGCAGTTTAATCGATTCTGAAAGAGATCAAAGTCCGTGCGATTTCGTAGACGAATCGGGATGCACGTTGCAGCACAATGTGGAAATAAAAATGTGACCTATTATTTAATCGATAAGGGATGCAACGTGAATAGCTTCGGAAATACTCGCGCTCATTGTTGTCTCACATGCATCAGGAGCATTATACTCAAAGCGAAAGCAAGTAATGGTTCAGTTACCAATAGAAATGGAAAATTCAAGGCAAAAATTATTCTTCGTTATCTCAAATACAAACACTATGATAATGTTGCTTTACAGTAGATAAGGCGTGTGCAATACGTCGATGCTCTAACATCAAAGAAATCGCTTGAAATTCGTTGTTAATTTTTTGTTTAACAGTATTTTTAAAAGATACTATCGAGACTGATGCCAATGGTTAATGTCTTAATGGCTACCTTATCCAGTATGAAAACGAAAAATAATAAAAGTACTTGTGTTATGCAATCTTGATCTCAATCAGAGAAAACCAGTAGGAATTCGCTACTTTTTAGTTACTTAATACAACAATTCACTTAATACAACACTTAACAAACACTCAATACAATTAACAAAAAATTTAATTCTGTAGAAAAATTAAAACAAACCTTTTATAAGCTTCATTTTTATTAGTTAACGCTCTTTAAATGAATATATCTTACAATGATTGCAATAACAGTTTTTCATAACGGGCCAATAAATGCTGCTGGACTACTGTGTGTATGTTAATTGGTCAACAGTAATCAAAAACTTTTTTAAAAGTTTTTTATGTCGTAAAGAATTCGTATTAACCAAATATATATTTTGGTGCATTTTAATTTAATTCTCGAAAATACTTGATTTTAGTCAAAATTAACTCCGTGATATATTCTTCAAATGTTATTTAGAGTTTTACAGATGAATTATCGAGAAGATTCGGTAATTACAATTAACTGGTCAGCAATAATATTCAAATTGTTAAATCAGAGTGAAAGAATATTACCAACTTCACGAGTAATAACTATTTAGTTTCAAGACTGATGTTGATGTATATTACTCATCAAAACTATATTATCGCAAAAACTTATGAAAGAGTATCGCAAGTCATTGATTTTGCCAATTTTTGAAGTAAAGCTTTCGATGCTGTACCTCAAATTCGAGATCTGAACGATAATTGTATTATTATATAAATAATAATTGATTTTCTTAACTATGATGATTTGCAAACCATTGTACAAGTGTAAAATACTTGAAGAAATATGTTTTTTATTCTTTAAAACAGGATTAACAGTACAATCTACAGCATATAAAATAATATTGCGTGTAATTCTTTTATTTCCAAATTAATGGTAGCTGCATTGTAAATAGTTTTCTATGCGATAAAACATGATAAAATATTATAACAATATATCAATCCTTTAATTCTATATATCTTATTCTATTAATCTTTTATTCTATATCTTAAAATAATTTTTTAATAAATTAGAATATCAAAATTGTTGCGGAAAGACAGTGAGTTTTTCATGATTATAAAAGTATCAACGCAAATTTTACAAAATACTTCTTAAATATTTAAGGTAAATTTTTTTCATTCAATAATCAATAATAATAATAAATTCATCTGCGATGCGTATAACGCTCACGTTGCCGCTCTGAAAATCATAAAGATAGAATGAGAAAATGTCGAGAGCAAATAGCTATGTATAGACAAAACGTACTTTATTGCTCGATCGAGAAAAGAAGGCTAGGCCCGTCTTTGAAAAAAAAAAAGAAAATAAGAAAGGTCGTGCGAGAAATTCATGCTTATTCTCGAACTCAATTGTTCGAGAAGATAGGGTTAAGCTTTCTGGTGAGAGGGACGCCAAGTCGTGGGATGAAACTCAGTCCTACCATGACCGTGCCTAAACCAGACTAACGTGTACGCATAGATGGAATTGAGAAGGCGCTACCACCGTCATCGCATGTCGTGCATAAGCGCTTAATCGGATTAATTGACAGCGGAAAGGCCAAATGTCTTTACAAAATACTTCTTGAATATTTAGTAGTAAATTATTCGCTTCAAATAATTATTTCTAACAGTTTCCGACTAAATATTGTGAATGTCATATTTTTCTATATAAAAAAATTCACTTTTTAATCATTTTTACTTTCAACATCAAGAGATGATTTGTTTCTTAACAATTTTACGCTTTCCACCGATTCGTTTTCTTTTTTTGAAGTTTCATTTTTAGAAATATCACTAATAACACTAGGAGTTGTCTTTTCCTTTATTTCTTCTTCCAGGCATATTCTTAAAATATTTTCATGTTCTTTTTCTTCTGAAAATTCATCACTATTGGTGATGGTATCTTCTTGTTTTTCCACTTTCCTTGGAACAACTTCTGTTTGTGTTTCCGTTTTAATTTGTTTCATTGAATTCTGTCTTGGCAGTCCCAGCGAATTAGTATTCGCAGAAATATTTGTTTTAAGTTCTGCTAAATCCTGTAAATAATTAATTTTTCATATAAGTTTTAGTGTATTTTAACCAATGATAAGCATTAAGAAAGATATACCACTGCTATTTCAGTATTAATACTTACAGTTTTTATGACTTCGATAGCTTGTCTATTAACATTTTCTGTTTTAATTTCTGGATTTTCCGTTTTACTACTATGAAGATATAAGTGAAATAAAGGTCCAATTTTTAGTCCTGTTGACCCTCCAAAATAGACTATCAATAATGCGCCAAGAAGAGTTGGCATGAATATAACTAACATTAGCTTTGCAATGTTATTGAATGGAAATGGTAGATCTTCTACAATAACAAAAGTATTTTTCGTTAAAAATAAAATTATCCACATTTTAAATATTATTTTCAGTTTTGATATGTCAGCTTACTTGTCATGCCTTCCACAAAATCGGATAAATAATGACTAGCTATGCTTAAAGGATAAAAGAGAAACTTTGAGAACATGTGAGAAATTACATGTAGTGGTGTTACTTTTAATACAGTATCTGTCATGACTGCTTCATAATATCTGAAACAATCTCCTTTTCGTATGCCTAAAAGGTATTTAAATATCAACAAAAGTATCATATCTATAAGATTTTCTTGAACTAACTATCAAAATTTAACACTAAAGTTAAAAATGAACTATATTTTTATATTTACCCAAAAATAACAACACTGATTTCAAAAAACTAATTTTGTCTTGTCTACACTCATCAGGCATAGTGTTATAAATACTCCTTTGGGCTTGTAATTTTATATCAGCTTCCTACAAATATTGCACCAAATATTTATTGCCTTATGAAAATAAAGAAAACTTTTTATATAAATAAAAAAACTCAATTCACCTGAAGAAGTTCCCACCAAGTCAGCATGAAACTAACTATTACAATGACAGTAAACAATAGTAAAAGAATTCTAAATCCTGTCCATTGTACTTTAAAGGTAACGATAATTGTAAACAACACAACAAGTATATACCCAAAAATTATCCTCTAAAAAATAAAAAGAATTTATATTTAAAATATAATAATGAAAAGTATAAATAAACTTACATATTGATATAGATATATTGATATTTTATCTGTAAAATTCAAAGCTTCATCAAAGAAACTTATTTCAGGGGAACGAATAACATTAGTGAGTATATCATCTATTTGTCTGATAGAAAGTTTTCCTTCTCCATAAAATTTGAGAAGTTCCAATTCTTCAACTGTTGCTTCCAGCACTAGCTTCCCCAATGCTATATCACCATTCAACTACAAATGAATTATATAAATTGCAATTCATAATTTTATCACATGACAATGAAATATACAAATGAAACATACCTTAAAGTTTGATTTTAAAATAATCATATTCACTAATCGTCTAGAGAATACTTCATATGGATTATCGTTACATGATTGATATGTAGCACCATGTTGTGTTCTAAAACCAAAATTAATTTTGCTTACATATCAAGCAATGATCATTTCTTATAGTTAACAAAATTACTGTACTTACAACTGATTATCCTTTGAACCTATTGATTCATAGTTTCTAGATATTTTTACTCTTTGAGAATGACGGTTGTAATAGAAAGAATTAGGATCAACATAATCTGAATCTTGGCTGCATTAAAATATAGTAATGAATAAAAATACAGAAACAAAATACATAAATAGTTACTTACACATAACCAGAGACTTGTTCATAAATGTTGTCAGTGCCAAGAACAGTAACAAATAAGTAAAGAATAAAAAATAGATGTAAAAGGGAATATTTTCCCTGACACTTCATTATGAACAATTTTAAAGCAATATTTCTTCTCACAGAACTCCTAAAGTTTGTGCTTATTCCCTTTAGCATAAATAATGTTAATAATTTCTCAAATCTACACTTGTTGACATAATTCAGTGGTTTGTTTACTTTACTTCTTCAAAATTAACAAGCAAACAGTCTCAAGAATAAGTACTATGCCTTCTTTTTGATGAATATAAACTTTCTTATAATTATAAATAATTCAAACATTATACGTAGAACAAATAGTACGTTAGCTAATTATTGCAAGAAAGTAGATTCTGATCTCGTGTGAGTTTTACGTCCCAACGAAGCAAAGGTGGAAAGATATACAAGACGAGAATCTTCCGAAAACATGTCCAGGTTTGGTATTTTGTAAAACGTTGCACATTTGTCACTGAGGGTGCGAGAAATCTCTGGACCACACTTGCAACACTTGCTTACAGTAACAGCTGATCCGTCACCGCCAAAATGAAGAGTTCTAATAATCATCGTTTTTTATTAAGCATTATTAATATATTATTAAATATTATTTAGCAAAAAGAAGAGTCATATAAAAATATAAATAAAAATAATCCCCTTGTAAAAATAAAAATATTATTAAAGTTATTAATCCTCTTATCCTCTTCTTATCCTCTCTCCTTTTTCCTCTTTTAAAAAAGAAAACCTGACAAAATAAAGCTAGTTTATTCGTAATTTGATTGGCTGAAAGATAGCCATGTGATCAGCTGTTTGAATTAACAAAGTTAATTTGGCAATAAAATGTGTGAATAAATCGATAGATTATTACGAAAAAATATTATACAGTGATTTTAGTTTTATTCAGTTATTAAAATATTAGACATTATTTTTAAATGCACTAATTATAACCGTGAATGCCGACTGAAATATATTACTTACATCATGAAGAATATGATTACAAAAAACTATAATGTTTTTAGAATTTACATTACATTTCTTATGGCGTTATTGAAACTTTTTAATGAATTTGCAACACAGGACATCTTATGATGAAAACTTAAAATTTCATTAATAATAGTTTTAAGGGACTTTCTACATAAAGTAAAAAAGACGAAAAAGATAAACGCGCGAAGCGCGCTAGACATCTAATAAAGTATACAAATAAACGGTGTGATTCTATTGTATTTATATATTCATTTTACATTATACAAGATTTAAGCCACTTGTAAAGTGTACGTGCTATTTATGTGCTAGTACGTCTGATTCTGCAGGCGTCTTTCAGATTAGATACTAATATTAGCGAGCACTTTTAAGAAATATTAACTATTTTATCGTTGATGTTATTTTTCAGAAGAATTTTATTGGTTAGATTTGAAATGATTTTTTGTTAATTAGTTCCGTAATTTGTTAATAAGAAGATACAGAGAGGAAACAAATTTAACAGCAAAACATAAAACAGGTAAAGCCAACCGACATAAAAACCATCTTTCTGATAAAAAGATAGAATATAAGAAAGAAAAAATAAGACAGAAAGGCGCACTTTGTCACAGGACGGAGGCAGAGAAATTCGCACGCACGGGCCCACGGCTGTTACATTTACGAAGTTACCCCGGGAACTTATCGACGCAATAAGTATTACTCACTCACTCACTCTTTTCAATAGTCTGCTGAGTACTGACCGCAATTAAAAAAAAATTTATATTCAGTGACGATCGTATTGCGCGTGCGTATACCCGCGAATTTTCAAATTTCAATTTAATTATTTTGAAAAATGTATAAAATTTTAACATAGGAAATCACAAAACATAAAAATAAAATCTTCTTAATACCTCTTAGAAATTAATTATGTATTATGATTTCTTTGTGAAACTTAAAACCAGGGATTTAAACTGTTATAAACTAATGTAAACAATAAATATGGTGGATCTTCTGGAATCTGGCGGCAATTCACACAGTAAATGTCAGTTTGAATACTTTATTTATTATACGTGAAAAAGTTCATTTTTTTAATTAATCGATAATTATCATATCTCTGACATACCATTCGATCTTGTGTAAATTTATTATCATCATAAAAATTAATATTCCTTCTGTAAGCTGTAAGTGTTTGCATCACTGTATTTTATTTTCTCATAACCTCTTTATCATTATTTTTATTTCCATTTACTTATTAATCTGCAATCTGTAATAAATAATAGGAAACCTTCTGAATGAATGTCTGTTTTAGTTAACATAATTGGAATAACTAAGGCTTTTAGGAAAAAAATTAAATAATTATTGATATGTTTAAGAATAAATGCATTTCATTTAGGCATATACATCTTAACATTGATAACATTCTTATTGTTAGTGTTCTTAACATCAGTTTATAATTGCATATCAGTAAAAGTGAATTAATCAATGATTGAAGTTTCTATCCTCAATGACTGATTGCCATCATGCAGGGCTATTTGAAGCTAAATGCTTAAAAAATCTCACAATTAATGTGATTGAGCTGTATAGTTCTGATATTAAAATACACTCTGTGCAAGATGGGATTCTGTTTGAAACAAGTGGTGAATGCTTAAGTAATTTTTGTAATAATTTTCTTTTTTCTTTATGAATTAACACAGCACATAATCTATAAAGACAATAAACAGTACGCTGGCTTTATATATAGCTATAAGGGAATAGCTACATACAATGGAATCTTTAAAAATTGTGTGATATCAACATAAACCACCCTCGTAATCTTCATCTTCTTCCTGTGATGTTTCCACTGGAGCAGGTGGCGGACTAGTGTCAGATTCTAATTTAGTGTCTCCCAACTGGGATCTAAGGGATGCTAGCGTGGGTAGATCATCATTATGTTCCATTGTTATAGCAGATGAAGAAAGTTCCTCCTTAAGTAAAAAAATATATTACTATTTTACACGAAATAACAATTTTAAATTACACCATATCATGTCAATAACAAGTGTTGCCCTTACTTGATTAACTTCAGCTTCAACTTTTGTAGCATTTGGCGAGATATAGGAAGGGGCTGCATTTGCCCTTACTCCCACAGGTGGCACAGCATATTCTTGCTGTGGTAAAGGAAGTCCTCTGGCAAGTTTTGCATATTCCACATCCATGTGTTTAATAAATGGACTATTAAGAGCTGACCTAGCACTGTCTGCATCTTCATTGTCATAGGCTTGAAGTAACATTTCTAATGTTTGTACCTATGTAGAAAGAGTGTATTTTAATTGCACAGCAGTAACCTGCTTGTATTGAATTGAAACAATCTTACTTCTGGTGGATCGCAATAACCACCCCACTCTTTGAATGCTTTCTCAGCTGCAACTTGATCACCTCTTGCCAACTGTACTAAAACTAGTGCAACAGCTAATCTTCCTACAGATGGCTGATGATCAATTTGTTGGTGCATACCAATTTCTCTACGTACTGCATCAGCAGCTTGATCATACATTCCTAATCGTACTGAAATTCTGGCCACTTTACTGATGTATTCTGCAGCTTGCCTGGGGCTATCCTCTCCCTAATAAAAAAAATTGTTTGTAATATTTTCTCACTTATCTACTTATTGTAATAGTAATTCCTTCTTTGCGCAAAAGTGTTTTATGTACCAAAACAACATCACAAGCTCGTCTATATAGCTCTAAAGCCTGCTCTGGTTGAGTAGATTCTAACATTTTTGCTGCTTTGTCTAAAACTGTTGCTCCAGATTCGGGAGAGCCATGTTGTTGATAAAGCGAGCAAGCACTATGTGCCAGTTTAGGTACCTCTGACAGTTGGTTCATTTCCTTCAAAACTAATATGACTTGCTCCAAATTTCTATAGTAAAAAATATTGATCTCTCATGAAAACTACATAAAAATAAAAATTGAAAGTATTTAAATTTAACTTACTTTGCTGCATGAAACCATCTTTTAAAAAATGTAACTGTTAAAGAAAATCAATAAGCAATAATACATAAATATTGTATCACCTACTTTTTTTACTTTTCATGCAATTTGACAAATATCTACTTACCAAAAAAAAAACACAAGTACATAATTTTTCTAAAAATAAGCATTGTAGACAATAATGAAAAAGGATACGATCTGTTTTGCTTATAGCAGTCAGCAGATTTGATAAGGCAATCCTTGCATTGTTGATAATTTTTAACAATACGAAAGCAAGTTGCTGCAACAATAAAAAAATTACAAATTAAGAAGTGTTAAATTAGCAAATTAACGCGGATGAGTCTATTCCACATAACCGTATGAATTAGCGCGGAAAGATAAGAGAGAAATATTACCTGCTGCCGTGTACTCGTCCGCGGCGACCTCGAAGTCGGGCCTCCATTTGAGCAAGGTCGTCTTCAAACTTAAAAGAATATCAATATAATATAGTTGTCAAATATCGACGAATATTTAACTGAATACACGTTCATTCTCGTAGAAAAAAAACTTACCCTTTTTCCGCGTTTCTGATGTGGGCGTTCGCTTCTTCGATTTTAGACATTTTTCTACGAATTTTGGCTGCGCCCTCGTCAAGGCGAGGATCCTGCTGATGCTTTCTCGCCAGCAAGTTTCCCCGCACGCTTGCGTGCTATATATGTACGACCGCGGTTGTATATCGTAATGTACACACAACGTTGCAGACGACAAAGTAACACGTAGCAACGTCGCGAAATCGAAAGCAGGTTCCAGCCCTAGCGATGTAGCGCCGTTCTTTTCTCTTTTGCACACTAGATATTATTTTGCTACCCTTGCAACTGGGAGAACTCTATGTAATCTTAATATATAAGCGGTGGATCGTGAAATTTTACTCAGGCAAAAGACGCACTTCAAGGCTTACAATATCTAAGCCCGAAGAACAAATAAGGTCTATTCACCATCTCTCTCAGCTGAGCTGAGCTTTTATTGCCTTTCGATTCTGCTTTAACAACTGATTCGGTCAACTGTAGGAGTATATAAATGAAAGTTACTAGATGTTTGGACAGCCAAATTATAATGTAAATTAATATTTATTGAACTTTTCCATTAAAGATAATAATCCAAAAATATGTAATGAAATTTAATTTACGGAATGCGAAGTGATTTATGATATGAAGGGATTTCTATTAATATATTGCTATCAATATATTCTTATCTACTTATAATAGTGTGGTTTTTTTTGTGTTAATAATATATCAGTTTAGAATATCCACGTGTATTATAAATAAATAATTTTTCTACCAAATGTTTACGAAATTGAATCAAAGAAAATTGTCACATGCGCCTATCTCTCTCTATTTAATGGCAACTGCTAAGCGTCTTCTGCAACGCCCGATTAAATGCATTGATTTTTCTCGGGCATCATTCCCTTCGGTTCCTTTAGTTTCTTTTTCTTGCTTTTCTGCCTCGTTTTCTTATGAGTAATGCCGTAGGTTAACGTATTCGCATCACGAGCGCAGAAATGACCAGATATGCAATTTTCCCGTTTGTTATTGAAATTTTTTTCTATTTCGCGCTTCGTTACTACAATGTTACCGAGCTGCTGAATAACTTAAATTTTTGAAAATAGGCGGTGATCGAAGATTCCGCTTCCGTGTGAAAGTTGCAATTAAAGAATACAGCCCATTGCAAATTTGTGCTTTCAATTGTATTATATATTATAAACTTGTATAACGCGACGAAAAAGACACTTGAAGTATTTCTAAGTGTACTTAGATAAGAGTCATCGCTTAGTGCTAATCGATTCATCTTTCGCAAAACATCGGTGACGTCCAAAAAATTAAAGTATTCAAAGGGAAATTACTCTTTCGAGCGAATATCTTCCAAATTTTTTACTGTAATTTATCAGCGCTAATTAACTCTTTTTCGGCTGAATGACAACTCGTGCACTTTCAAGTAGTTTTCACGTAGCTTTCATATGGAGATGTCTATTTGTGGATGGATTGTTATAGCATTGAAAAGGTCGAACTACTAGTAAAAATTACAAAAGAAAACACTTCACCAGACATTTGTATGAAGATATGTATCCCAAGAAATATTGATTCAACTTTCTTAGTTAGGAAGAATTTAAAGAAATCTTACTGGTTGATCTTCAACAGGCGAGTTCAATAGTTTCTCGTAAATCTTAACAGACGTAAAAGATATCGTTCCTTTGGAATTTCCAACAGCATTTCCCATTTTTTCCGCATATAGATACGGTAGACAAAAAAGTTCGAGAATCCAACAAGCTATATAGAGCAAATAATCGAGAGACAAAGATCATTCCTAAATATTAAACATGCACCTAATCAAAGAAAAGAGTATTGTCGTCAGCCCGACTCGGGAATGCAAGCCTACAACGAAGAATACAGTGCTTCGGTTTGCAAGCTGCCTAAAGCCACCAACTCCATTAATAAAAAAATTCAATTGATAAATTAAAAAGACTTATACTTTATCTTTTACATAAATATTGCATAATACTTACGCGAAAATCATAATTTTTTTTTGATATTGTAGTATTTTTCATTGCATGAGCATCGCTTCAAAACTTTTACTACCGCTTGTAAAATTTGAGTTTTTATCATTATTTTTTATGTTCATAGCATAGACATGTATATGTGTACATGATTTTCGGCACTAGATTTCTGAATGTTGGGTTGTGTCAGCTGCTCGACCAGTGCCGTATTCACCTTCAACTAAAAACTTTCCGGTGCCACTGCTCGTACTTTTTTGAGTGATAAATAAACATGACAATGTTATTTATTGTTGACAATTAAGATCACCTGCGTCGATTCTGTAATAGAATAAGCCTACTGTGTGTTCATTTTAATTAAGTGCTTACTCGAACTGAATGTATAACCTTAGAATTTGTTTTCAGTTGAAGATGAATACGGCACTGGTCGAGCAGCTGACACAACCCAACATTCAGAAATCTAGTGCCGGAATTTCTAGGGTCCCTGAGAGCAATTTGTCTAGTCGTAACGCTGGTTATATATAAACAGCGTTATATATAAACAATATATATTATATATATTATAAACAGTATATATATTTCAACTCTATAGTTGAACAAATCAGTTGGTAAAGTAGAACCGAAAAGAAAGTTTAACTGAGAGAGATAGTGAATAGACGGAATAGACCTTATCTTATCTTATTCGGACTTGGAAATTGTAAGACCTGAAGTGAGTCCCTTGCCTGGATTAAATCTCACGACTCACCATTGACTCCACGAATTTTTTTTTATTAGAATAGCGGGAAATTCGAATGGTTTGTCGTAATGTTAAATTTCTTCTTCGGTTTTTTCTTTTCTTCTTACCGAGGATTTCTTTTAGATTAATAATTAAAGTAAATGTATGATTGTTAATTACTATGGATTTTCAAATAAAAAATAAATAAAATGAAACTTAACGAATTGCTTGATTTCTTGATATTTTGTTTGCTCGATGTTTATGAAAAATTGAATATTCCAATTTAATATTGCATACATCATCGAATTCGATTATATGTATGTTGGTAATGTCAAATGTTAATTGACCTACTGAATATGTCATAAAAGTGCTGTGGCGGGAAGCAAGAAAAAACCGCGAAACGCCATAGTGACGTACTGTTTATATTAATATTTTTGTATTGTTTTATAAAAAAATATTTATATTTCATCGTTAATTCTTATTAATTATTCATCAGAAAGAACTCGATAAATGTAAGTATCATTGATAATTGCTATTGTAACGTTGATAAACAGTGGAGATAACCTCAAATACATTTCTTATATTCTAATAATTGAAATTTGCAAAATACATATTTTTGTATTTACATATATAGATGGCTGAAAAACTAGAAGATTTGAATCTTCCTAATGCTGTAGTCACAAGAATTGTGAAAGAAGCTCTACCAGACGGTGTTACAGTTGCTAAAGAAGCCAGATCTTCAGTAGCAAAAGCAGCTTCGATATTTATTCTGTATTTGACATCGTCTGCCAATATGATTGCAAAGAAAAACAATCGCAAAACAGTCAGTGGCCCAGACGTTATACAAGCAATGGAGGATATTGAATTTGATCAATTCATCGAGCCACTACAAGAAGCCTTAGAGAACTTTAAAAAGAACCAGAAAGAAAAAAAAGATGCTACCACTAAGAAAAAGCAACAAAAAAAAGATGAAGATGATTCAGAGATGCAAGAGGATGAGTGAAACAAGTATTGCTACTGATGCACGTCTGTACAAATGTATTCAATAAGTAATTTTATTTTTCTATCTAATAAATCATAATACCTTTAATATTATAAACAGTGTAATTTTATTCGAGTAATACATATTTTTTCTTATTATATAACAGTATCATTGGTAGGTATCTCTTTTAAAAAACTATAAGAAAACTTTTACATGCATAGTAAATTTTAACAATAGGGGAAGGCCTTAAAATGTTTAAAATGCTTAAAAGCTTAATACACACTGTACAAAATCACATTAAGAAATCGATGCTGTAGTATTTTTCACATTTTATCAATAAATGGATTCTAAATGTTAGAAAAAACTATTATTGCCTTGTAATTCTAATTTTGCGCTTAATGGAAGTTCTGCACATTGGACAGTCCATTGAAAGCATTTCAGTACATTTAGCACAACAGCAGAAATGTCCACAAGGCAGGAAAATTACTTCACACTGAAAAAATATAACTTAAATTAGTATTTTTTAAATCAAACAAATAAATAGATAACTCATTCTCACATCAAAATCCATGCAGACAATACACTCTGTTGGTGCAGATGGTTCAAATGCTGTATATTCTTGTTCCGAGGAACTAGTAGAAGGTTCTTCTGCTAATGGAGCAGATGGAGGACAATATTGATAGGCATTCAATTTTCTTTCGGCTAAGTAATTTTCAACAGCCATCATTATTGCAGCTCTATCACTTGCACCTTTCACACCTATCTGCAAATTAAATTTTATTAAAATAACTGAAATATATTTTACTGTAATCAATTACATTAGAATCAAATTTCTTACGTCTTTTAATTGGTCATTGTCAATATTAGGAAGTAAAGAAGGAAGAGTCCATAAAAATGGTAGGCAATGTAATGCTCCAGCTATAGCGACGTGACGTACCAAAACTGGGTCTAGAGTTTCCAAAAGACCTTGAGGTCGCGTTTCGATCAGAGATTGATATTGAAGTAACCAAAACATATTATCTCTTCTAGATGGATTCTGAAAATATTTTTTTAATTAATTTTGAAATTTCTAGTAGCAAAAGTAATGTTTTTAAAAAATTACCAAGCTGTTTCGTTGTTCTTCAATATGTTTTACTGTTTCTAAAAGTTGTCTTCTTCTTTCTTCTTGTTGTTCCAAAAGACTTACTAATATAGCACTCAGGGTTACTCTTTTATCAGCCACATCGTTCTATAGAATAAGTTGTTTTTTGTAAATTTGCATACAATTACAAGACTCGTTCATGCTTTACTTACAATATGTTGATTAATTTCATATTTTCTTCTTTCTAACTCTATGGTTGTTAATGCAGCTAATTGAGATTGTACCAAATTTACTTGCTGCACTATACTCCAAGATCTAGCATCACTACGTTCTAGCAATGCAGCCACAAGAGCTTTTTGCAATTGTTCATCTTCTTTTACTCTAATAACTAAATCTTGCCTATTTTTTTCTTGATCTTGCATCACTTTTAGTAATTGTTCATTATTTTCTAATTCTCTAAAATAATTTATTTTCAAATCTTTTAGATTTCTTCTGTATTTATTCATAGACATAGACAACTGTTCAATCACAAATGTTTCTACTTACAAGCTTAATAACGATTGAGCATTACAATCCCTAAATGCTGTATAATCTGCCAATTTTTTCTGTTTAAGTAGTTCATCTTCCAATAAATCTTTCATTGCCACTGGGAAAGACAAAAATTATATCAATAATTTAGTGAACTATGAAATGTGTGAGAAGCATTCCACTTACAAAGGGTGTCTTTTGTACGATGTAAAGATTGCTCTGAATGAGTTCGAGAAAGAATATCCATTTCTTCTTTTTTTTCCATTTCAAGAAGTTGGCCTTGAGCTTGACGTTCTTCTTCACTAACATGTAAAAATTCCCTAATCACATTATCTGCTTCTTTTTCAGCTGGATCAATAAAGAAATTTCAATTTATTTGTTTTGTTAATAAAAAAAGGTGTTGAAAACCATGAACGATATTTTACCATTATAAATGTATGACAATAATCTAGTACGATTAACATCTCTTTTGTGTTGAACCTTTTCTATTTCTTTATCTAACTGAACTTGTTGATTAGCCAAATCTCTGAGAAGCTTTTCTTTATTAATTTTTAATTGATTCTGCATTTCCAACTCTTGCCTTTGTTGTTGCTTAATATTTTCTTCTACTTCTAGAAGAGCATTTTGTCGTTGTTCCTAAAATAAAAATTATAAGTATTTTCAATAAATTGTATTAATAAAATCTATTTTCTTTAGTAAAAAGCTGATTTGGTAAGATTCACAAATCACAAACGATGATGATTCATAGATGATTTAAATATGATCTTCATGATAATGGTTTTGTGATAAGTGATTGTTGTGAGGATGAAAAATTATATGTACTTCCACGTGCCTTTAGCCTTTCTAACTTCAAAAGTGTTGCCTAGAAAAGAAAAGAAAAATGGAAAAATTTAAAATATAAATGTTCCATTCAAATAGTTTTTATGAATTAACAAATGTCAAAAGATGACAAAATAATAAGAAAACTAAAAGCTTGAAACATAAAATTCTAAACACTAAGCACTATTTTAATGAATAGAGTAACTGTCATTTAAAGACATCACAATTGATTTAGTTAAGTATACAAGCTTCAAACCTGAACTTCATTATCATTGTTATACATTAGTGACTGTACATTCTGTAAATTTACATCAATTGGTGCATCAATTTCTGAAATGCACTTTTCTGGTGCATAATCTATCCCGCATTCGTTTGCTAAAAAAGCTACCATCACAATTGTTCCACCACTCTGTATATGTCCAGGGGGATAGGAAAGTTTCAACTCATCTATACCTAGATGTGTTATTTTCTGTGCGTGCCCTAGTGATTTCGGCAACTTTTGTAAATTTTTATTGTAACCAATATCAAGAAAAGTAAGATTCTTTAATTTTCCCATTTCTTCTGGCAAATATTTGAGTTTGTTTTTGGAAAGATTCAATATCGAAAGATTTTTCAAACGTACTATTTCATTTGGCAGTTCTTGCAACATATTTTCTTGTAAATACAACTCCTGTAAAAATAGTTCTATGAGATTTATAAAAATTATTTCATAATGAATACTCATGTAAACAACAATATTTTTACCTTAAGTGATATGAGGTTAACAATTTCTGAAGGCAAGCTGTTTAATTCATTGGAATGCAAATCTAGAATAGTAATGAGGGATAGGTTTTTTAAGGCACCTCCACTTGAAAGCGATTTCAATTTATTGCAATGTAATAGTAATGTGTCTTTTCTGAACACTTCACAAAGTAGGTAGGTACTCGATGGTACACTATCTAAATTACATTCTGAGATGTCGTAAACTGGAGATGGGCTCATCCTGGCCTGTAAATAAGCAATAAATTTCTTGTAAACATAATCATATTTGAATATTATTAATCTTAATTCAACATTGTACAATAATTATTGTTCCAAAAAAAATGTAAGGTTTATTTAACGAATCTATTTTTCCTAGTCTTGATTAGTCAAATACGCTCATCTAGAAATTATGCAATCCAAACAATTGATGTAAAGTATATATATTCAGTATTATGCAAACATTTGGTAAAAGTGATTGTAATAAACGTCGAGAAAAAAGAAAAATAAAGAAACTAGATAATCAGCTTACCAAATACAATTTGTGCTCAAGTCGAGCTTTGTAATCGACTTTGTTGGCCTTATTTCCATGCCTCCTGAAGGACATCGTCCGCTTGTCATGACAATTGAAGAGCAGTGCGTTCAACTTTTGCTGTTGCCCCGAAATCTAACACACAATTCGTCTCTGTGAGTTACCGCGACCACATCGCGACTGAGTCTTCATGTTTGACGTGCACGTTACTGCCCGTGGGCTTTTACGCTCGACAGCGTTTTGCAGCTCGCATGATTGGGATGATTCACGCGTTTAGTACAGTACTTCGACCGTTTCATCCACCTAGCAGACGAGGTTTTGTTTTCTTTTTTCATTGGCCTCTCCTGTACTGCTGTGGTCGCCCCCACACGGATCCAATGTTTGTTTTGATGCACGCTCTCTACTCTACTACTATACTCTATATCGGCTATTTCTTTTCCTCCTTTGAATTATTAAGCTGTTATACCAACTGATAGTTTTTTAACTCTTTTTTTAGCATAGGCTGGATTTATATGTTTTTTTTAACGAAACGTGAGCTGTATTGTCTTTGTTTGACAGAATTTTCAAAATGTACGATAAATATTTTTGGAAAAAATTCGATTTCCATTCTCTTTAATGAGTTTTTTCTACTATATATGAAATTATCAGCACGCTAATATCTAATATCTTTAATTGTTTCGGCATGTAGGAACATCTGTATACATACATATTTAAATAATTATGTACATACTTAAATAGACTGAAATCGCTGCTGAAACCCTAACTTTTTTGTATGAGTCGGATATTTGTTTGTACTACAGTAAGAAAAGCGAACATTTTACAGATTTATATCGATAAAAATAATTCACTTCTGCATTTTCCGAAAATTATAACGTTTAAAATTATCAAACATAAATTATTTATTTAATAAACAATACAAAAACTTTCAAATGTTTTATTACAATATTTTTATTAAAATGAGAGATGTGACATGGCGTAGGTGTAAGAAATAATTGTCATTTTATTGAAAAAGTTACTTTATTGCTATTTCTTTTTAACTTTTAAAAGCGAGTACTTGTGCTCTATCGTGATAAGTCACGATAATATTTTAATTTCCAAGATACATTCAAAAATTTCTTTAGTTACAAATATACAAAGATTTTTCGTAAGCGTTAACAGTTTTGGCTCACTTCTTTTTGGCGTAACCGATATTCAGTGGGCGTTAACATGCCTCTGAAAATTAAAAACAAACATTTTATCAATTTTTTTCATCGATAATAATTTGATCTTTTCGTAATTTGTCCACGTATAATTTTCATATTAATCTCAGCCAAACTGGCTCTCTCTTAAAAATTGCGTGAATTTAGAAAGCAGGTTAAATTGAAGTTGAAAAATGTATAACAATAAAAACAATTTTTTCTACGATAACGGACTTTTTTTTCTGCGGTGGAAAAAATTTATTTTACTTGTATACCTTAATACCGTGTCAAATGACACAAAGACTCCTTTGTCACACATTTTTTTATATAGATGCCAACATTCTTTTTCTTTTGGAGTTTGACAGTACGGTTCACAAGGCATTGGTTTGGCCTTTTCCTCGCTGACTTCGACAACCGGGATTGTAGAATTTACAATTGTCTGTAAAATCAAATAGCTCATTATTTGAATATTTTAATTGTGATTAGAGTTTTGATTAAATTTTATTCTTTTTTCTAGACTCAATCTACGAACAGTTTTTATGATTGAAAAGAAATTTGGAAAAAAGTGCTAAAACTATATCTTGACGTAATCGGAAGATTATGTTATCGCGCAATATTTCACACTAATTTGGTTTATAAAGCAAAAAGAGTGGTAATTTTTCAAAAACTTGATTTCACATGCAGACACAAAGACAATTGATCGATCGCACTTTAAGAGGATACTTGCCTTCGAGGAGACATTCTCCTGCAAGTTGGCCGCGATTTGCGAGGCGATTTGCGACAGCCGCATCTCCGTTTGCAAGCACGTCCGACTGGTGTCTGACGAGCGTTTCTCGTGGTTGCTAAAGAACGAAGAAATGAAAATGGGAGCTTAATTTTGAGAAAAGCAGCTGGCGTGCTTAAGACGAACGATGAAATCACGCGAGCTCGAAGCGTTTGACGCTGCGCGAAAGCGAGTTGAGAGTGGTAAAGGGGAGTATGGATATGTCCAAAATCGATCTCAATTAACCACCTATTTTTCAGTCTCTCTTTTCTTCTCTCCCTCTCATGATTCATCGGTGCAATTAGGGCCGAGGTCTCATACGCGACCCAGCACATTCGCTTGAAAAGATGATTTAGGACCAAGGCGCGTGTCCGTGTCTTGTTTTGCTAAAGTTTGTTGACCTCTTTACGACCAAAGTTTTACCGCCTGAGGCTATAACATTGTTTAGCTTTCTCGCGAAGACAAATAACTGCAATATCTACCCAACGAATTCTTGGCTGTCGTTGTAAAAGTCTAAAGTTATGACATTTATTGATCATATATATTATGCGGAAACGTTATCGAGTCGTATCTATTTCTATATTTCTTACATTTCAACTATATTACGTAAGGTTTGAAAGTGGTTTAGTAATTTCTGTTTCAAATTGAATATTATATAAAATCATACAATCTTTACAATAATCCAATATTGGCGCAAAAATAGGTTTAAGCAATCAATATTGTTACGTTGCCTCTTAGTGTCATAGTCAATGAATCGTACTTCATTGCAATCGAAACCGAACGGAATGAAATGATTAAACAATATCTTTTGTACAATGATGACTAAATATCATCTCAACTTCAATCTCAACGACTTAATAGTTGGTATTGTCGCTAAGTTAATATATAGATATGTTCATTTCATCACTCCAAATTTGTTTCCCAATAAAACATTTAACCGAGTCTTTTGATAATGATTCATCGATATTTAGGTGTGATTATTATCGATGTATTTTCCGATTACCGATCGCACTAATTCGGACAAACGATAGACAGTGAAGATCAGTTTTTCTCGTTCACGGTATGTTTCAGTGCCATTGATTAAATTGAACTCAATTTTCAATAAATTGTAAGATGCCTAACTGTACTTTAAACGTCGATAAAGACCGGCAAATAACCAAAGTACACGCTTGCCGAATAACATTTTCTTGCTAATTCATTCGGGTAACTGGATATCATGTCTCTGCCTTTCAGCATACGAAGATTCACCCTGATCGCTTCTTTCGCAGTGTAGTCAGCACGTGTCAGTGTTACTCGTCAAGATTCACTGTTGATGGATTCTTACAATGTCCTCGTCCAAAGGAAGGGCAGATAAAAAAAAAAACACGAGGATAATCGATATTCGATTACGAACGAAACGAGGCATATCAATTGCTTTTATCTCGTCCGTTTCGATAGTTTTGCCATTGAACAATATCTATCAGTAGCTACGAGTCGAGAATATTCCTATTGATTGCTCGTGAACGATGATAAGCTTTCGAAAAAGAAATGTGAGAAGTCATCGTCACGACGTGGCCTCTCAAATAACAATTTGTTACCGTCCTCGTACGAAGTGCCCGCTTATTTCTTTTTTGTGTACTCATCATTTGCATGTTTACAAGGAGTATAGATAGCGAAGGTCGGAACACTACAGGACGGATTTTCATTTGCGATAACCACGCGATATTGTATCCGAGAGGCTCTCTTTTTTTACATTTACTTCTCTTCGGCGCTTGGCAGCGAGGGAAAAGGATCCATATCCGTATCTTATTCCACGGACGACATAGATTTTTATTTTACTTCGGCGCTTTCGTCGCTTCGACGTATGCCGCGATTTATGAGTTATTCGATTTGCATTTCTGCGCCATGAAAACGCGTTCAGTTATGGTTGATTTAGCGCTCACGTCAGAATTGTTTAAGTTGCACTGGATTGTATTATGTTATCGTAACTTCAATGAAATCGCTTTTACTTCTTTGAAAATATTTTCTTCAAGTGTAAAACTGCGTTTTAGGATACAATTCAAACTAGAAATTGAAACTTTTGTGACTACCAAAATCTTCTAACAACTTAATCTAACAAAAAAGGGGCGTAGTATCGTTGTCCTCGATGTATTCTCATGTGAAAAGCAACGCTCCGCATTTACCGCCGCAAGCGATCATATCGTTAGAAACCCGCATTTCTATTTTTTCGGGTCCTGAAATAAAAAATCGAATCCCTTAACTTTTTGTTAGTTCTTATCTCTTTCACGACTCTTTATCATTTATATGTACTACTATACACGCTACAATATTCACAAGCAGTGGCGATGGCTCATGGTACGGCCACGACTTCGTCTCGTTTTCAGTTCCACCTACTTTCGTACGAGATACCTTTTTGCTGTTTCTTTTTCGTTCACGCACTTTGTTAAGGATAAAATTATACGCTAAATATTTAAAAAATGTTTTCACTTTCGTTTTTGGTTACTAAGTAGCTTCATTGATTTGCCTAACAAGCGAAAACTTATTATAATAAATTATTAATCACTCGTACGCATTAGTCGCATATTAATAAATATTATTTACTTGAAGTATTTTTCTTCCGTGTAATTTACTATAATAAACCAAAGCAGATAAATTTGTTTTAATACACTTGTCAATATGATCTTGTAAGCGCGATTTTAAGTTGGAACGAAGCCCGAACTTACTAGAGGCTCGCGCAGTTAAGACAATCACGTTGACTAATAGCAGAACATCTGACTCAGTTTTTACTTCTCCACGGAAGCATTTACTTTTGCTGTACAACTTCATTAATAGTACAACAAATTATTTTTTCTTTTCATTTAAGATCGGTAAAGTGGAAGTGATAAATAGGACAAGCTTGCCGATATACAAGTATTGAAGTTTTATTTCGTACACTTAGTGTTGACGTTAATGGCTATCTTGCATTCGTAGAAAGCACAAAAACGTCAGCACGAACGAGAACGAAACCACATAAACAGTTAGACTTCTGCGTCATCGATTATTCCGAATTTAAGAGATAGAGATTCACACACGCTGAGGAAAATTTATGTTAAAAAGTAAAAGTGAAAAATGTAAAAAAAAATAGTCTTGTTGTTTTTGAGAGATGTAAAGTAGTAACGAATTAATAAAAAAATTTGACAATTTCTTACGTATCCCTGGTAGTAACAACGGCACTGCGGCATCTTACGAGTTTCCTCTTCTTATCGAGTACATCACCGATCGGTACAGCAAGACATCGCTTTTCGCGGTCGGTCAGTGGTGCCTCAGTCGTCGGTGCTTCCTGCTGCTGTTGCAACGACATTATCATTGGCGCGTATTGAACGGATTCCATCTTCCAGGATGTCATTGCCGCAATTAGTGGTGTCGAATTATCGTCGGTGCTTGAAGTCACGGCTTTGCTAAGAGCGATAAAACGAGCTTGCAAGTTGTTGGATGTTGCTCTAGAGTCATCGTGACTCGGCGGTGGAGACTCGTAGTCGAATGAATCTTGCTGGAATGAGACTGAAAATGAGACGAGAGTTCATTAGATTACGTCGTCATTTTTTTCAGCAGTTTACGTTACTGCAATCTGTTGTAATCAAAACGTTGCGCTTTATATCAGTGGAACAAGTATGGCTTTGGTCAGGCATTGTCTTAAACTTCCATTGCACCTTACTTGTAGCAAAATGCGCAGTGTAAAATACGTCAATAAAAAGCGTTACAACAAGTCAACTTAAACGAAAATTATTAGAAACAGCTTTATCGTCACTTAACAAAAATACAAACGTAGTTCAAGCAAGATAATCTAGTAACAATCTTCAAAAAAAATTGTAAAAGAAAAGTTATCTGCTATTATTTTTCGAGTAAAGAGACGCATCATCATTTGAACTAGATTTCGGGTATGACGTTAGTGTCAATGTCGTTGCGAAAAGAAATACAAACGTTGTCCTAAAAAAACGTCAAAGCTACAATCCTTGGCCGTCTTTTTTTTCACAATTATTGACTATAAACGAGTATCATCTCGTAAATCACCGAAGGCACGGAAGGGTAAGAAAAAAAGAAATTGATGGAGGGTTAACGGCATGAGATATTAGTTGCACTTTCGTCATGTTTTACTGCCACGGTCAGATTGTATTTCCTAAAGAAGTTATAACATGAAACTCAGGTGACTTATTGCACGCGATGAGTTTTCCCGTAAAACTGGGACAATCGAAATGCTAAATTTTATGGCATAAACATACAGTTTGGTAGATCTGTGAATCTTCCATTTAAGTTTTGAAAATTTCAATTTAAGGTAGTATTTGTTCAAATGTTAATTTAAAAAATTGATTGTTTTCATTTTACAGAATATTCTTTTCAACTTTAAAGAATCTTAGAACAATGTAATACAAAAAGAATTCTCTGGAATTCGAAGTTGATAATTGTACTAGAATCTTTTTTATTTATTTTCATTAAAACCTATTTTCTCATACATTTTGTTTTGTTTCAAAGTAGTTTTCGTACATCCGAAATTGAGTTACAACTTAAACATTTTTGGTAAATTTTGTATAATTCGACACTGTTGAACTTTTTAATCATAATTTTTAAAATAGTGTTTGCGTTAGCAAATAAACATTTTAATTTGAAATAGTGAAAAAGATGTTTAAGATTAATTATAAAATGAACAAAACCGTTTTTTAAAAACTGTTAAGCTCTCTTTTTTTAGGTATCTAAATTACATTAAAAACATGTGTGCAAGTTACTCCAAAAACGATGAAACGAAAAAAAAATGTATATTACATCATATACAATCAATTTTCTCAATCGGCAAAGATAAAATCGACCCCCCCCCCTCCCCCGAAAACAAGGTCTCGTAAAATTGAATCATCATCTCAACCAAAAAAGGAAAGGAAAAGAAATTGTAAGTGATTCTCCTCTCGAGCTTGCATGTTGCGCAATTACTTTGGTTAATTATGGACTAAAGGCATGCATATATGTATGTACTTTGCATATAAGCACAAGACACAAAGTTCTCTCGAGCGTTCGTACACAAAGCCGCGAGCGAGCGGTATCATAGCCTTGACGTTTCATGAGCAAATTCACAGTCATGTTATACTACTATATATTCGTAGTGCTCATGAATGACTCTCGACCTTGCACTTGACGTTGATACATCGGACGGCTCAATCGTCGCCCTGAATGAGTCGAGCTTAACTTTTTGCTTGTAACAGAAAGAAAGTCCTTGGTAACAAAAGAACCTATAACTCATGCGCGCTTCTGAGAGTTCGCCGGGAATTCGAGAAATTTCTAAGGCGTTCACTTTGAACTTGGCGAGCTTTTTAAAATGACGTCATCGTCTTTGTTCCCGCGAACTAGATAACAAAATATCAAAATCGATGAAATAATCATTACCTGATTTGAAAGGCTTCCTTATACCAGTGGAAAACCCATTGGAAGATTTGATGATCGGTGTAGTAGGCAACTTACTCCTCAACTCACTGATTAGTTTATCATCCCTTAATAAATTATCATCCATTTCACTTTCGCTATCAGCTGAGCTAATCAACGAAACCATCGTGATAACATCTCCAGTGTTACCTTTGCTTTCCATCATGGCATTCTTACTACCCTTCGATTTGCTTTTTCTTTTACCGTCAGCAACGTCATCCTCGCCATCCTTTGAGTAAGCTACCGATAAGCCCCGTCTTTTGCTCATTTTCAATCGCCTTTTTACCGACGGTGCCGATTTGACTGTTCGACTTTTTCGCTCGTTGGCACTCATGGCACGTGCAGGTCTTTCAGGTTCAATTAGCGGAGCTTGCGTCGATGTTATTCCTGGAGTGTCAATGACGATGTTGACTTGTGTCCGTCTTTGCGGTGGAGCTGAATTTGTTCGTCGAAAACTGGTTCGTGCTGGTTCTTGTTGTGGTGTGCTAACTCGGCTGTTGATTCGTGATGTTGATGGAGATTTCTCGGTTATCGGCGTGTTAAAAGCTTTGTTCAATCCACTTTGGAATCCAGCTCTTTTCAATTTAGCTTGGGAGTAATCAGGTTCTTTGATCGGTGTTGTTGTCCCGATAGATCCGTTGTCGTTGTTATCTGCAGGTTTATTGTTTATCGTCAAAGGTGCATTCCAGTCAGTGCAGTTGATACTAATACATGGTTTTTTTTCAACAACAATCACGTCATCTTTATTTTCTGTTAGCGATGATGCAATGTTTTCTTTATTCTCATCTTCTATAACATTATCCTCATCTTTAACAGAATCTTCGACAGAATCTTCGACAGAATTTTCGACAGAATCTGTGGCAGAATCTTCGGCAATTTTAATGGCAGACTCGTTGGATTCAGAAGATGAAAACCAATGTTGGTACTCAACGATCTGGATAACCGTGGTGTCTTTCTCTTTTTCATCAACCACTTCGCTGATCATTGATTCATTGATCACCGTGGTGTCTTTCTCATTTTCATCAACCACTTCGCTGTCATCTCGAACATGAATCACATCCTCTACTTCTTCGTTCTTCACTTGAATCTTCGGTGTTATAACAGTTCGATTAGTCATCGTTGACAATCTCGACTCCGATCTTTCTTCCATAGTATTATGAGCTAGAAAAATATCGATATTCGTTTTATTCTCTTCTCTCTGTCGCCATGCCAATCTTAATCTCTCAGCCAGTTCCTGCCTTGAATACAGAAAGGTTGCTTTTTCCGCCAGCGGACATCTTCGACTTCCACGCCCAGTTGTCGGTCTACTAGATTTGCCAGTTGGGATTTGTCTGGCAACGATTTCGACACTATCGCTTTTCGATTTTGACGGTTGATCGGCCCAAGCTACTCGAACTTTAGGGCGGTCGTGCACTGACACTTGATTGTTATAGAGATCGCATTTGTTACTAGCAAAACGACTCCGTGATGCTACTGTACTCGAGTATACTTGCAATGTTTTTTCGTCTTCCGATGAGCGTTGACGACGGATTTGTTGCTGACGTCGTGGTGGTTGCTGCAACGAATGCTGGCGCACCGGACCTGGTGGCCGCCGAGATATCCCGTTATTATTCATTCTTTTTATTTCCACGGAGACGATGACTTGATTTTATCTGTAGTTTAAAATAAAAATAAAGTGATTATTGAACGTTCAACAAATGAAAGAATTAAAAAAAAATAATTTCTAAGATTTTTTTTCACTTTCCAACATAATATCTACTAGCAAAATTATACGCATTGAAAGTTATTTATCACAGTAGTTTAATGACGTTCACAAATCATTTTTATCATATCAAGTCCTGTATATTATCGAACTAGTTGTAGTAAAGCAGTAGAGTAACTTTCAACCCGAAACTAGATCAACTGACACTGTTAGAATCAAATTAGCAGTTACAAGTTTAGCAGAGCAATCATATATGCCAGAGAAATGAAAACACGAGGCAATCAAGTCTCTCATTTCTAGAATGCTCAATAACTGAGTACACACGGCTTAAATTGGAAAGAAACCGAAACAGAAATTTCCACAGAAGTAACAAGATTGGCAGGTACCAACGCGTAATTGGATTCTGGTTACAATCGAATTCTAACTAAATACAATGTAAATAAAAATTTATATCGGTTATCAATGCTTAATTGCAAAGAAAATTGGAAACGCGATTTGCTTGCTTGAAATCTTATGGCACTCGTTCAAGAGACGCAAAAGGCACGTTGCGATGGTAAGATATATGCTAAACGCGGCTGTAAATCGACTATTTACGTGAGCGTTGCTATAGCACGATGTACACATACTTGGCATGGTCGCTGAACTTGTATGAAAACACTTGATTTTCTGTTTTAATCAAAGATTACTTTAACTACTTATGTACTTGGATTTTCTTCGTTTAATTAATAATAGAATTGACGAAATTGTAAGGTGCTTTTTTAATGAAAAAGCTGCGAGTACACGACTTTTAGTTGGAAAATTATGAGCCTCATAATTAGTAAATAATTTAGGCCTTTTATTTGCCTTGCTCGGAGCTTAACAATTTAAAATCTAATCGTTATTCAGTCGCAGCGAATACAAAAAGTTTAAAGTTGTAATAAACGCAAAGACGACATCGAGTGGTGAGTGCACCTCAAACCTATTACTTCGAACGACTGAATTAAAAGAAAAGACGACGGAGATGATGCAGCCAGCCGCAAAAAGAAGGAGTTATCATCGTGGAGTCTTGGGTCGCAAGGGCCGCTGCCCCATGCGCGCACTCGTACCCCGACGCCGCCGTCGACTGACTAACTGACTTTAGCCGAGCCGCGCGAGCGTGATGCACGAGCGGCTGCGTCTATACATCAGCTACACCCCGAGTTCTCCTCGTCGCGGCTTTCTTCCTTTTGTTTTTCTCTTCGGCCTATGATATTATATATATAATACGTATATAGTATACGCGTTGTCGATTGGTGAATATTCTATAGAATGAATTAGTTCGTTATTGGCAAGTTTTTGGATACGGCTTTTTTCGATAATGAGTGCAATGTCTATTAACTCGTTCTTAATGTATTATTATTTGTTGGTTTTTATAAAATACATGCAAATATACAATGGATCAATTTAAAAATATTTTGTTCGTTGCTTCAAAGTTAATCGTATTGAATTTAACGGACATGGCTTTCGTTATATCACGTTGAATACAATGTTTGATTAACGTGATCAACATTTTTTATGCAAAGTTTCATTTGAATCGTTTCATCCTTAATTTTATAACTTAATTGTGTTTTTCTTTTTGTCAATATGGCAATTAGATGGACTTTAGTTTGCATTGGCAATAAAGTAAATGTGAACATTTAGCAAAACGCAAATAAAGTGAGTCATCATAATTTCAACTGCATCATCTTAGTGAGACCAAATGTATTGGTCACGGTAACATAACGAGCTTTTGCAACAAGAAAAGTCTAATGATTTCGACTTGTAGATTGTCCAACTGAGCTCATTCTCTCGTCTCGTGTAAAGCCATCCTCCTTAAAGTTCATACCATAAACCAGTTTACTCAATTCGATCTCCCACCTGCCAAGGGCTTATTTCGAAATTTGATGTGTGCATTGTTGAAGTTCACATATAGAGTCGACCGTTCTTTCCACGCGGCAGTCACCTGTTATTGATCAAAACTTTGCCTATCATCCGACAGCTTGTTGTCCGCAGTTACCATGGCATCCTGGCCCCCAGAGCCAATCAGTCAAATCGCGCGGCAAACGTTCCCCTTTTCTTCGGGGCCTCCGCCTCTTCCTGCTTCACCTCACTCGCGTTTGCGCCTTTTTCTCTTTTTTCACGCTGTCGCTACTTTTTGTGTCGATCTTGGTGGCAAGTAGCATAACTCGTGGTTATGAACTCTCGACAGAATAACAACTCTCGTGACTTACTTTCGGGAAGTTGGAAAGTAGGTAGGCGATCTATTTTTTTTATTTTCTCTCATAAAAGTTTTCAGGTGATGAGTAAGAACGCAATTATTAACGGGCTATTAAGGTGGAGAACTATTTTGATAGATTTCTTTCTTTTTATTTTGCGGAATAAAACATCGTTGCACGTGTGAAAATGTGTGTGTTAATTGTTTGTAAAAAAATGTATTCAACTAATATATATAGACTGATAGCTTATGAAAAATTAATTTCTTTACTTTAGCCAATCGACCTAGGAATAACAAACTTTTTGAAAATGGTTAAACGATGGTAATCAATTTACTGATTATTATAACCAAGATAATCAAATCTACAGATTCATACTAGCAAATGAAATAAACGTAATTCGAATAGTTTTACAATCATCTGTCACAAAATTTGATCTATTGAAAAGGTTTCAAAAAGATAATCCGTAAAAAAAATTCATGGTGACTCCGAGAACAATGTTGAGCTTAACTATAACTTTACTGCATAATCAGTTTTTTCGCCCCGTTACCTTCTTCCACCTTTTTATCACTTATTTCTCTCGCGCTTTCTCGACAGTTTCTTCTTTCCGCTTGTCAAAAACTTTAAACAAAGAAAATTTTTTCCCCAAACCTGCGAGCCTACTTTTTGTTTAATTGACTGTCGGTGCGCCGATCTTATTGAATCACGATCGAGAAATAATAAGCGTAGCGTGAAAAAAAAAATTCCGCTAGAAAAGTTTGATTACTTCGGGTAAATTCACCAGATTGCAAGGAAGCACACGTCTTGCGCGATACAATAAGCCTTGATCTACGCGTCTCGAGGCGATAATGGAAGAGAAGCGCCTTAATCGAGCCAATGCCTAATCCGATAGATGAGGCGCGATTCGAAAATTGTTATGCTGATGCGCGCGCGCGAATGCTACGACTTGGGTAAAGGGTTAACGCGCTGGCAATGGCTGTTAGATGCCAGATATCGCGGCTAATGGCTCAACTTTTGCCCATCCACGAGATTTGGCATATGTGGAGCGCGTGCTTTCGCGTATCTCTGGTTTCACGTGCCACCGATTTCTCGATTGCGAACCACCGAACGGACATATTGTCGTGTCGTGTCGATGTCACTTGCCAGATTAGAGATGCGATTACGCCGAGATACCTTTGTAAAATAGGACTACTTTTTTTCGTTACTGATTTTTTTTTTCATTTTTTGTTCAAGGATTGGATAATAAGAATCAAAATGTCGGAGATACCGTCACATAGTTTTTTGGATGAGGATCCATTTTTTTCAGAGATACTTTCCAGCCAAGCTGATATTGAAGATCAAATTCACTACCTAAAAATATCCTTTAAACCATATGGCAATTGGAATATTTGATTCTATTACATGATAAAAAAATCAATAAAATTAATCCTTAATACACGCATTTTACGAGGCTTTGGACAGTGACAAATGTATAGAAGAAAAATTGAATGACATTCAAAATTTTCTCTCAAGCAGGAGCATGAAAAATGTCACAGCTGATATTCTAAACGACAAAGTATTTAATGTCACTCTCACTGCAGCCCAAAAGTTATATTTCGAAGTAACCAAAGAAATTGGTGAGAAATTGAAAACTAAAAATGGAACAGAAGATGACATAAAAAATCGGTTGAATCTCATGATCGATTTATTGAAATGCTGGGACACGTGCATAAGCCATATGAAAACTTTGGAAAAAATATCGATAATCGCTGTACAGAGTTTTCCCTCGAGTTTGTTTGAAGTTACGATTGATGCTTTAAACCATTGCAAAGCCAGGTAATACGAATGTCTACAAGTACTGATTTATAGCAAAACTTGTTACCAAGAAAAAAATCAATATAAATTGTTTTAGTTCGGAAAACTATGGTGACTACTTCCAAGCAGTTTGCGACACCATCGCTGCACTTTTTCGTCACTGCGTAGCAACTTTGAACTCATTTTATGCTCTCTTAGATACAGTTATATCTTTTGACACGAACCAAGAAGATGAAATGAATGTTTTATTAAGAAGTATCTAAAAAAACGCGACTTATTTGACAACAATTACATTTATTTTGAATTAATTTAAAAATACAATTTCTAGTAATTGACGCAACTGGAAAAATAGCAACCCTGTCCTGTGGTATGGATGCTAAAACTTTAACAGAAATGTGGAAACAATTTGGCAAACTTACCACTATCTATTGTTTGGCAATGAAGGAACTTTCTCCCAGCGCCGTGACGTATCATCTCAAAGGACTATCAGAAAGCATACTTGTCGTTCTTTCTTCAATCGGTCAGGTATGATTTGCTAGATTCTATGTTTTAGCTACCTAGAATTACCAAAGCAATACTAGATTACTTTTTATCTTTTCAGAAAAACCAAAGATCGACTAATGAAAGGTCGATTCTATGCAGCAGGTTACTGCTGAAAATTCTGGAAAAATTGTCGAGCGCTTACTGCGGTTGGATAAGGAATGAAGTGATGATGGAAATCGTTATAATGCTTACAAATTTGTTCAGGTATTTTTAAAAGACTATTTATCAATCGGTTCGTTACTCACGCAACATCACGTGTTTTAGATATACAGAACAATGTTTGAAAATGACCAGTTACACCGCTGATTTTATAAAGTTTATCGTAACGAATTTTACCTTCATGATAGATCCTTTTGTTGACGTCATGTTTAAGAATGATAGCTTCAAAGTGGTAAGCAATTAACGAGTAAGTGATTATATATGTTTTCTAATTTGCCCATGATCTTGTAGGCCTTTTTTGAGCATGCAAAAAATATCAGCAAAGAGTATCTCGGTTATCATTTACTTGTGTTGACAGTCATGAAAAAATTGTCGTCGCTCCCGTACGAAACACAGCAAGAATGGTGGAATGGGGAAAACTCCGTTATAGATGTTTGCTTTCGCAACATTGACAGATGTAATTGATATTTGTTTTATTCAAACTTCAATAAAAACTTCACTTGACTTCATGATAATGTTTTTTATTACTACAGTAACAAAAGATATTTGCATTGGAGAATTGGAAATACAAATGTCTCGAGATGCCTCGCAAGCATCCTACTCGACGAACATATACGAAGCCACGTGTCTTAGTATTTTCAGTTTGGTGTGTCAAGTTTCACGTTCAGATTTTGATGCACTGATTTCCTTGCTTTTAAAGTATTTGTTGAGTGGAAAATATTATAGTGCTTTACTCTGTTCAGATATATGGTGTTTTGTATGTCGGTAAGAGTGTGATTGTACAAAATTATTAAATTATCTTTAATGTGTTAATCGAACAATCATTCCGCAGATTAGGCTCGTCGGGGATGTGTTACAGTACCTTCAAATATTTATGGCAAATATACGACTTACTTGAGCATCGCGAAAGCCACATGAACGTTGTTATACTTTCGAATTTGCTTTGTCGTCAATTTAAATTTCTCGATGACAATGACAAAAATGACTTCATGACTGGTATCACAATAGCAATAAAACCTCATCAATGGAGATTAATTGCTCGGATGACGGATGCCCAGAAAAAAAAACAAATTCAACGACAAATTGATGCTGCAGCTGTAAATAGCAGAATATCCCTTGATTTGAAAAATTTGGAAGAACAACCATCTTTATGCAATATGACTACCTTAGTTAGTGAATTTGCTATTTTTCATTTTCTTTTTATTGCTATTATTATGAATTTACTTAATTTTCAGATGAAAAATTTGTCGGTTATCCAAGCTTGTGAAATACAGCAGGATGAAAAATCGATCGATACTTTCGTCAAAATGTGGAATAAAATTATTCATCTCTTGGGAGATTGTGAAGGAGCACCTCTGCGTGCCTTACATAGTCTCGCGATTACGGTTGTGCGAGCAACGTTTCCTGCGCAAGGTCAAACGAAATATATGACTATGGTAATTGTTTGCACTACTCAAATAGAAGTAAATAATTTATTCGTAACATTAAATTTCCCTTTGCAGATCCTCCAATCAATGGCATCGCTATATCCATACGCCTCGAGTGAATTACACCTAGAATTCTGTCAATTTTTTAATCGATGCGCTGTACAACTGTCGGAAAACGACGCGGACACCGTTGCCGATCTCTATATCCGATTACTTAGCGACTCTAATACCTGCGTTCAACAAGAAGCCTTCGAAAGTTTCGAACATCTAACACGAGCTTGTCCTAATGGTAATTTGCTTGCCTCGGTTGCTATGACTATCAAGAATGCTCAATCCGAAGTGTCAAGGACGTTGCCGGCTTACATATCTGGTGAGATGGTGCACGAAATCGTTGGTTTTACCGATGTAAATGAACTGCTTGAAATGCTGAGCATCTTGGACGAAAAGCACGTTTGTCGTAAAAGGAGTTCGGCTGAGCGGGAAGAAAAGGTATTTAAATCAGATGAGGGTACTACTAATGGATTGGAGGATGTTGATAAACGAGCAGAAAGAGTATGTCTGGATATGGAGCAACTGATAAAGATGAAGGTGCAAATTAAGAGAGACGTCTACGATAGATTGCGGCAAGTTTGTCAGAGGTTTTTAGATCTTCATTCATGAAGATTGAACATTTTACTCTTTTGCTTTAAGGTGGACATTTGTTCAATAATGCGTAAGCTTGACTCCATTGTTAAGAATCTTAGAGTTTGATATCAACTTTTTACGTTTGCTAACAGTTCTACTCATTGTCAATTATATTTTAACAATCAATATTGTATTTTATTCATTATGTGAATCAAATCAATCTTATTTTTTATAACGTATATCATGATTTTTCGATCTTTACATAATATAGCTATGATGTACTTTGTTTTAATATAAGAGAAGGTGTAAAACTCATTTGATTCTGGAATTGTTATAGAAACTTATTTATAATTAATATGATTCATCGTTCGTAGTTCTTTAAGGCCAGTTTTTCGATAACATATTTTTTATTGCAAAAATAATTGTATTGTCATTATTATATTAGGTCTTTTTTTATTTTCATAGAATCTTCAAGATATCAGATGAGATAATTCATAGAACTTTTTATTTACTTGGCTTACCGTGTGAAAGTACTATAGTCCGCGAATATCACAACAGATGACACATATGCCTACGTGTCTGTAGGAATTGCTGCTTGGAGATGAATTAATGTTATGGTTGAAAATCAACAACTTATTGTCTATAAGTAATAATATAATAAGTATGAATTTATTCAATTCATACGGTTATTATAAATATATATTATTGATGGGTGACAACTCGCGCGAGGCGAGTTTGTCCCGTACGAAGGCCTTTCAACAGCCGAGCGGCTTTTGACTCGGGCGGCAATCAGGCTCTCGGGCACCCCGTCCCTTTCGCGCGTCAATAACGAAGTCTTCGTAGATTTGAATCCGGGCTCCCGATACCGCGATCGTGAGATATTCGATCGGACGTATTCGTATATATCTATCCGTAATCGGTTATATATAAAATAAGCAATAACGGGGAAGCATATGGATATACTCAAGCGCGTTTAATAGTACTTATAAAATTTATTTTATAAAGCTCAAGTACATGAATAAATGATAGAGCGAAAATAAAATATATATATATATTTTATACACACACACACACACACACACGCACACGCACACGCACACGCACACGCACACGCACACGCACACACACACACACACACACACACATAAAAACACGCGTCTATATATATATATAGACGCGTGTTTTTCGCCTCGCGTTGTCTATTATCTATGAACAATATGGTACTCACTTATTTTTTAAATAAAGTTATTGACATCGGTCCTTTATATATTACTTTCTATTTATTGGTCTTCTCTCCAGTAGGTAAACCAGAGGGGCCTCAACTCAGAGGGGTATCAGCTCACTGAGTTGAAGCGTGTGCATGTTCACCCTCCCCCCCCCCGCTTATCAGCCCGTGCGCTGTCGACTCCCCCCCCCCCCCCCCCCGCTTATCGGCCCGTGCGCTGTCGACTCCCTCCCCCCAACTGAGTTATACCGGTGCGTTCTACGCACTCCCCCCTCCCCTACTGAGTTGATCTCATGTGGCGTATACCGATGCGTTCTACCCCCCCCCCTCCCCCCGCCCCACTAAGTTAATCTGATGTGGCGTGCGTTCTTCCCCCTCTCCCAGCCTACTGATTTGATTCCTATGCACTGCGCGCGTCACCTCCCCCTCCTCCTACTGAGTTATACCGGTGCGTTCTACGCACTCCCCCCTCCCCTACTAAGTTGATCTGATGTGGCGTACGTTCTCTGCACTTCCCCCTCTCCCATTGATTTAATTCCTATGCACTGCGCGCGCGTTCAAACTCCATCGTTCAAAGTTGCAAAATTCGTTTTCCATAGTCGATAAAATCGAAAGTAAAGTGCAAAACCTGACTTTAGGGCTACAATGCATATGTATCAAGTGCTAGTAGAGCTTCCGTATTATATCGATAGAAATTATTGAGAGAACGATGATCTCGTTTTATGCGTCAGCTACATTATCGTCGGAGTACATTATCGTTGCTGAATTCCGCATGTATCGTTAATTAGCCGGCATAGCTTGCATTCTTGTAATCGGTTTAACTTCTCTCACCAGTGCAGTTGATATGGTACTTTTCAAAGTGCTATCATTGGACTCGCGTAGTGTCGGTCAAGAAATTTGTCAGACTGTAGAGTATTCTGTTAATTCCATTTATGAGAGAGAGAGAATGCGCGATTACAAGTATTTCCATGGGACCAATATATTTTTTATGACAATAGATACTGTTTCTGTACTTTGCTTTCTTTATACATTAAACTTTATATAGTAATAGCCATTCTTTTGGATTTTTATTTCAGAAGATTCGACGTTTTTCCGCAGAGAATATTATTGTTATAATATTGATCTCAATTACTGAATAATGCTTATTTTCTAAATACTTTTCTAATAAACATATCAGCTTATAACTCAACTTTCTGTCATACAGTGCACACACGTAATCAACTTTAACTTTTTTTTTGAATGTCGAAGATCTGTGTAGGAAATTTAATATTACGAATAAATCATTTACTTATATTCAATTAGTGCGAACAATTATCATAGTCGTATATTTCATTTAGCCTTGCGCAGGAAACGTTGCTCGAACAACCGCAATCGCGAGACTTTGTAAGACACAGAAAGGTGGTCCTTCACAATCTCTCAATTGAAACCGCTCTTGTTTGTGGTGCTCGTCGAATAGAGTGGTGTTTCGTTTATAAATCAAAGCTGATCTTTTTTAATGTAAACCTCTTGACGAACTTATTTTTGTTTGCTTTAATTTTATTCACACTGGTTTGTCACAATTTACATGTGAGTAACTTTGTTAAAATAGAAAAGGTGCTCGTAAAAACTGAAACAAAAGCAGTGTTAATTTTCCCGACTGTTACTTTTAATTAATAAAAATAGAAGCGAAAACGACAATACGAAGAAGAAAATGCACAATTGCGCGGAGAATTTTGAGTTTTGATTCGTAACCCGGGAATAAAATAAGAAGAGGAATATAAGCGTCGCAAGTTGCAGATATTGATATTCGTCGATTGATTTCGTAAAAATATAAAAAATTATGTTAAATATGGTTGATTTTCCTCAAATCTATCACAGCCATTAATGGTCGCTGTATTCTAAGTACAATATGCAGTCTACAATGAAATCGATTATTTTCTATTTTCTCAAATTTTATAGTAATAATACAGAGAAAAAACATAAATTTTAGTTCGTTTTTTTTTCTTTTTCAGTTTTACTTCTAATCTAGAGCTGTATACGCTTGTGTTCTTATAAAATAAAAAACAGTACCCAAGCAAAAAAATTATATTCCGGATGTGTTAATTAAAAGTTAATTAAATGTTAATTAAAAGTTAATCACATTTTCGAAACACTATCATGAAAATGATTTTTCATTGGTTCTACGTGAGAATATTCAATTCATGTGTAATGACTTATTAAATAACATTTCCACTAAACTCATGTAATGCAATTACTGTCATATATCGATGCATGCTATGAGTGGATTACATTTTATGATATCAGGCATTCTATATAATTGCATAGGAACGTACGAGATTTTGGCATCGACTAAATGTCGCTTTTAATGTGGATATGTGGATGACAATAATTCAATAAATAAAAGATCTTGGTGTTGAGTTCTACTTTTTTTTTTGTTCCAATCAGTGGTCAGTTATATATATACACCTATTATCTGTCATTTACGTTATTCTGCTAGACATCTATGGAAGACATTTATGTGAGGTATGATTATTGAATTCTCCATGATTTACTTTAAATTGACTAATAACGAACTGGTTATTACAAACTGTCTGCTGATTTGCAGTAGCTACTTTTGCCGATCTCAACGATGCTGAAGTTAACTTTATCAATACAAATATACAATAATTAATAAATTTAACTAATAAATCTTTAATAACTTCATTAGATAGATGACGGTACATAATTACTACACTCTCTTTGTCTAATTGAATGCTTAATAAATAATTAATGCTCATTTAGTCAAAGATTTTTACATAACATTTCAGGTAAAATTGCTGCCTATATTGCTTATCGTTTATGGAACTCGACAGAGAAACCATATATAATTGTTACGTGACGTTCCATTATGTTATAATTATATTTTACGATTAAGATTTCGCTCTCGAGAATTCCGTTTGGACATAGTAATAAAACACTATAGCTAGCAATATTCGTGTGCGAGACTCGGTGGGAATGAGCGGCAAAGGCTGATTCACGCTGCTGCAGCATGCTGCGATAGCGAATATATGGACAAAGAATATATAATAAACCGGTGAAAACAACGAAGAGAGATTAGTTAGTCACGACTGAGCGCTAGAGCAACTAGGCCGCAATCTTTCCGAATTCAGAGTTTATCTCGCCAATTGAAATTTAAATTTAGTTTGATTTGTCCGAGTTATCCGGCATTATTCTTTTACTTAATTAAAAGTTGAGTTCAGTTTGAGTGTTAATAAAAGGCAAAGAAACACAGCAACCATACAGGCAACTTGTTCACGCCGCTAGGACCAAAGAAATATATATTAATCTACAGTATTAATTAGACATATACAAATATACGTGTACTTTTGACGGACCTTACAATCCGTTTAAAAAGAACAGAAAGGAGAGAGTAGGTAAACTAGAGGGGCATCAACTCAGAGGGGTATCAGCTCACTGAGTTGAAGCGTGTGCATGTTCACCTCACCTCCCCCCCCCCCCCCCCGCTTATCGGCCCGTGCGCTGTCGACTCCCTCCCCCCCTACTGAGTTATACCGGTGCGTTCTACGCACTCCCCCTCCCCTACTGAGTTGATCTGATGTGGCGTAAACCGATGCGTTCTACGTACCCCCCCCCCCCCCCCCCCCCCATCCCTACTAAGTTGATCTGATGTGGCGTGCGTTCTTCCCCCTCTCCCAGCCTACTAATTTAATTCCTATGCACTACGCGCGTCACCTCCCCCTCCTCCTACTGAGTTATACCGGTGCGTTCTACGCACTCCCCCCCTCTCCTACTAAGTTGATTTGATGTGGCTTGATCTGATGTTGCGTGCGTTCTCTGCACTTCCCCCTCTCCCACTGATTTGATTCCTATGCACTGCGCGCGCGTTCTGTGTTACGTGTTTTGATTTTTTTTATTGTGTGTGTGTGTGTGTGCGCATGTGTGCGCGCGTGTTACAAATTTTTAGATTTTTCTGAAACAAAACGGACGGATCGGGGGATCGAACGCGCGTCCTCCGGATCCGCAGGCCGATGCTCTACCGCTAGAGCTACAG